GTGAAGGAGGGGAAGAAGCTTCAGCCCCAGGAGGGGCAGGATAGTAATCTTCTTGGGTGCAGGCTGGGGCAGCGAGGACAACCCCACATAGGCTAGGGAACCTTCTACCTCTCCTTCTCATATAATTCTTACAGCCCCTCTGGGGAGATAGTCATAATCTGCCCACTTCACAGATGAGGAAGTTGAGCCTTAGAAAGGGGAAGGCAGGGGAAGGGCAGTGGGAGAGCCGAGAAGCATCTGGCAGAGCTTTTTGGCACTCTATTGCCCCTGGGTTGGGGAGGTCTCCCATCAGAGCCATATGACCAGACCCTGAGGTCCAAGAGAACAAACTGGGGGATAGATAGAGGATAGGCAGGCAGCAGGCCTCAATCCTTGTGAGGGAGGGCCAAGGTGGAACAGGACAGTGGCCTCTCCCCAACCTTTCTCCTCTAGGATTCCTGGGGCAAGCTCACCCCTTCCTTCTGGGCCAGGATCAAAGCCCTGAAGGTGAAGCTCAGATTTAAATGTGCATTTGGGCAAGAAAGGCTAATAGGCTCTAATTACTGCTCATTAATCCAATTAATTAAGTTAATGTATGCAATAAGTGGTATCAGTTATCAGAACAAATCAGTTAATACAGGCAATTAAAGGGGTTGGTTATTTAAATAATTAATGCAGCTAATTAAGGGGACTGATTTAGCTGAATTGTCACTATTATTTATTAATTGATTTCACCATTAATATTGGAGGAGAAGTGCCTTTTAAGTCCAAAAATAAAGAATAAATAAATCGATTAATGGAGCTGAGTTTTTAAAAATGGATGCTTTGATTTCTGGATTTGATCATCACAATGGAAGGGACAGTTTTCCAGAAATCTCCAAGCAAACTGAGTACTGAGTTCTGAAGGCTGAATAGGAATTACTTTGGCCATAGGTGAGAGGGAAGATGCCAGACAGAGGGAACAGCATGTGGAAAGGCCCAGAGGCTGAGGGAGCAGAATTCTGGAGGAAGTATAAGAAGGCAAGAATGCAAGAAAGAGTGAAAGGAGAGAGGAGGGATGACTAGCAGAGGCCCTCACAGGGGACTGAGGACAAGAGGACTAGACTTTGTCCTCAGGGCTTCAGGGGGCCACTATGTTGTTCATTCATTCAGAAAGTATTTTTTGGATGCCTATAATGAGCACTGGTAGTTCGGTGGTAGAATCCTTACCTTCCATGTGGGAAACTTGGATTCAATTCCCAGCCAATGCACATCATGCACCACCACCACCTGTCTGTCAGTGGAGGCTTGTGTGCTGCATGATGCTGAACAGGTTTCAGCAGAGTTTCCAGACTGAGACAGACTAGGAAGAAAGGCCTGGCTATCTACTTTCAAAAATCAGCCAATAAAAACCCTATGGATCACAACAGTCCAATCCACCACCAATTATGGGGATGGCACAGGACTGGGCAGCACTTCATTCTGTTGTGCGTGGGGTTGCCATGAGGCAGGGGCCAACTCCATGGTAGCTAACAACAACAACATTGTGTGCGCAGCACTGTCTAGACACAGGTCCCTGCCCCTGTGGTGCTGATGTTATAGTAAGAGGAGATTGTTAATACATGAGATAAAGTACATGTCAGATAAAGTGCCAAAGAGAAAAATAAAATAGAGAAGGGAGATAAGGAGGGTTGAGAAGGTCATACTTTCAGATGGGATGGCCAGGGAATGAATCAATGGGGACACTTTAGTAAAGACCTGAAGGAGGGGAGGAATATCTGGAGGAAAAGTATTCCAGGCAGAGGGAACAGAAAGTGCAAAGGCCCTGAGGTGGAAAAAACAAAGTACAGCAAGAAGCCCAGCTTGACTGGAGCAGCGTTTTAAGTGAGAGGAGCATGGTTGAACATGGGGTTGGAGAGGTGATGAGGGGCCAGTTTGTATGGGGCTGTTATGAGGGCTTTGACTCTTACTCTGAGTGAAATTGGGGACCAGCTCAGTGGGTTTTGAGCTGAGGAAGGATGTGATCTGACTTTTAACAGAACCTCTCTGGCTGCTGGAGAGAGAAAAGTCACAGGGGGCATAGTTGGAGGCAGGGAGGCCAGTGACGAGATAGTGGCAATAGTCCAGGTGAATGATGGCAGTGGCTTGTAAGTAGATATGTCACATCATGTCTTGGAAACCTCTGAGTGTTGTAGGACGAGGCGATGGGGGCTGGAGTGAGGCCCCAGGCCCTGAGCTTCCAGGGCCCAGGCATCTGTCCTGAGTACCCTCCTTGGCTCTGGCCACCCCACTCTGGTCTAATCCCTGGTGTAGCCAACCCCTCCCCAAGGCTCTGCTCCTGCCCCTGGGAGCCTGAACGGAAGTGGACAGGAAGCCGGAGGAAGTGCTGGGGCGATCCCAGTGTCCTGGCCAGTATGTTCCCAGCAGCGGTAGGATTTCCGGGCCTGAATGGCCGGAAATGCTGGGATGGGACACCTCACCCGGGAAGAATGGGTGGAGATGGTCAGGAGGAGGGGTCCCCACCCCACCTCACCCTACCCGCTCTGCTCCTGGACAAAAAGAACCTCAATGTCTTTGGAAGACTACTTCAGCTAAGCTGCAGCTTAAGGGACTGTGGTTGGACCCTAGAACAGGGAAGGCTGTCAGATAGCTTCTCAGTGAGGAGCCCCTGACCTCAGGATTTGGGAAAATCTCAGGGAGGAATTCTGCCCTAAGAATACTTTACCCACTTTTTTTTTTTTAGCTCAACCTTCTTTTGTTTTAAATATTGGGTTTCTGTATTTGAAGAAGCAATTTCCCAATGTTCAAGTTCCCCTCCCCCATTTTGCAGATGGGAAGACCGTGGCCTATCCAGGCCAGAGAACTGGGGCCCAGGCTGGTCAGAATTAATGATAATGATAGTGGTTAACGCTGCTTGAGTGTTTACTATTCATGCATTCATTTAAGCAATGGAGCCCTGGTGGGGTGGTGGTTAACAGCTCAGTTGCTAACCAAAGGTCAGCAGTTCAAACCCACCAGCTGCTCCTTGGAAACCCTATGGGGCAGTCCTACCCTGTCCTACAGGGTCGCTATGAGTTGGAATCAACTCAGCAGCAACGGGGTTTGTTTAAGCAACATTTATTGAGTTCCTTCTGTGTGCCAGACACTGTGCTGGAAGATGGGTGTTTGATGGCAAATGAGACAAAGTCTCATGGAGGCATCAGATAACAGTAAATAAATAGATGTGAAGTGGTAATTTCAGGTGAAAGGAAGAGCCGTAAGGAAAATAAAGCAGGGTTGGGAACAGGGAGTGAAGGAGGACGGGGCTATTTTAGGTAGGGTGATCAGAGAAAGCTTCTCTGAGGAGATGAAATTAAGCAGTGCCTTGAATGAAGTGGAACACTGGTGTCACAGTGGTTAAGAGCTCGGCTGGTAACCAAAAGGTCAGCAGTTCAAATCCACCAGCTGCTACTTGGAAACCCTATGGGGCATTTCTACTCTGTCCTATAGGGTTGCTATGAGTTGGAATCGACTCGATGGCAAGGTTGAATGAAGTGGGAGGAAGGAGTGAGATGCATGACGATCTGGGGTAACAGCATTCCAGGCAGAGGGAACAGCAGGTACAAAGGTCCAGTGACAGGAAAAAGCTTATCAAGGAAGGCAGTATGGCTAGGGCAGAATGAGGGAGACATGTTGGGGAGTTGGTGCGGCAGCCAGTTGGGCACCAGGTTACACAGAGCCTTACAGGTTGGGGAACATACGACCCAGTTTATGCCTGTTGTTGTGGGATAATAATGATACCCAATTTACTATCTAGAGAAGAACAGTTCTGGTTTGGATGGTAAATTACATGCCCAGGCATTTACGAGCTACAGAAAGGAGTTTCGAATTTGTTCTTAGAGGGATGGGAGCCACTGGAAGGTTGGGGTGTGTGTGCCATGATCTGTTTAGATTTTAATCTCAGGCGCAGTCTGGCAGTGGCATGGAAACTGGCTGTGGAGTGTGAGAGCAGACACAGGGAGCCTGCTGAGAAGGTTGCTGTGTGCTCCATGATGAGATGGTTTAGACCAGGGCTGGGGCTGACACATGGAGAGAAGTGATCAGGATCTATTTTGAAAGCAGAGCAGCAGGACTTCCTGATGGATTGGATATAGAATGCGAGAGACAGAGAGGAGAAATGATGACCGCAAGGTTTTTGGCCTGAGCAACAGGAAGGATGAAGCTGACATCAACTGAGATGGGGAAGACGGCGTAGGGAGCACGCAGGGTGGGGAGGATCAAGAGTTTTGCTTTTGATAAGAAGTTCGAGATGCCTTCAGACATCCAAGGGGTAATGTTAAGAAGGCAGTTGGATTTATGAGTCTGGCGTTGAAGGGGTAGGTCCAGGCTGTATTAGAGTTGATGGCATTGAAGTCCATGGGCAGGGTGAGGTGGCTCACAGTGGAGAAGAATTATATTTGTTTGGCACTCTGGGAGAACAGACAAGGTGGCCAGCAGCAGCCACCCCTCTGGCCCCCCACCCCAGGCTCCATTCCAGACCCCTGAAGGCAGAGGGGATCAGTTCCCCAGCCTTCCATAACCAGCAGTGGCTCAGCAGTGTGCTGGGAGTGCTGAACCCCAACCTGGGGCCCTCCAACATTTAGTCAGGGAGAGGAGGAGGAGCGGGGTGGTGAGGTGGGGCGGGGAACCAGGCGAGCATGGAGTCCTGAAGCCAGGTAAAGAAAGTGATTCAGGAAGCAGGCACAAGGTTAAACATTTAACATCATTAGCTCCCTGAGTCCTTGCAGTAACCCGATGAGACTAATCACTGATTTACAGATGAGGAGACCTAGGCTCTGAAAGGTGAAGGGACTTGCCCAGAGCTGCACACACAGCTGGAGAGTGGAGGAGCAGGGTTTGCACTCAGGCCAGCAGACTCCAAAAAGCTGCAGTGCCCCCTCCTGCCTTCAGGGTGAGCCCTCTGGGCTCTGAGGGCCAGCACTGGCCCCAGCCAGGTGGGCAGAGGCTGGCAGCCAGGGGCCCAGGTAGGGAGGGGGATGCTCACGTCTCTTCTCTCTTTCCAGGGCTGCTGGGGAGCCGGAGGCTGGCGGGGACTACGTGAAGGTAGGAGGGGCTGGGCCGGGAGTTGGGGTTTGGTCCGGGAACACTGGAGAGCTCAGAGCACCTCCCTTTTTTGGGAACCCTGTTAGGAGCCAGACCTTACTGCCTGTTCCTAGAAGGAGAGAGTCTAGGGACTTGGGCAGTGCTTGGGGTCTGTTTCCACCCTAAGTAGCTTCTCCCCACATCTGTGATCATTCTCTCCTGGCCCCAAACTCAGGGCATCCCAATGCTTGTCACCGCCAGACTGTACTCCACCCAAGGGTGTCACCATGCAGAGGCTGTGACCCTCGAATCCCACCCAGTCTTTGAGCATCTACCATGTGCTGGGTGCTGGGACGTGGGAGCAGGAAAGGATGACTCAGTTCTTTATCGACAGATAATGAGTGCAGCTCACATATATTGGAAAGCTTAATTTTTCCTTGGTAGTGGGAATGTTGAAAAAGCAGTTTTAAAATAACAATGATAACAACAGTAATCTTGTCACATTTTGAGTGTCTACTTTGTGTACAAGGAGCCCTGGTGGCGCAGTGGTTAAGCACTCAGCTGCTAACCCAAATGTTGGCAGTTCGAACCCACCAGTTGCTCTGTGGGAGAAAAGACCTCGCGATCTGCTCTGGTAAGATTATAGCCTAGGGAACCCTATGGGGGCAGTTCTACCGTGTCATAGAGGGCTGCGATGAGTTGGAACAACTCGATGGCACACAACACTGTATGCAGAGCCCTCTGCTGGCTGCTGGGCACTGGAGGGGAGACAGTCTCAGGCTCTTTACGTGAGGGAAGTTTTTGACTTCTTCCCCTACCAATGGGCATTGAAGGCGTTAAGCCCATTTACAGATGGGAAACTTGAGACTCCGAAAAGTGCAGTCACACAGTTACTATGGGCTGGAGCTGGGATTGCAGACCAATTTTTTCTGATGACAAGACCATGTACAAAGCCCTTGGCCTTTTGATACCAGGAACATCCCCCAGAGCCAGGCCCATGCTGAGGACTGAGTACACAGCAGAGGGCAAGGAGCACCAGGCCATGTGGGACCAGGGCAGAATCACACAATGGTTTGGGCTTGTGTTTTGCAGATTTAGTTCCCAGATCTGCCGTGTACTTGCTGTGTGACTTTGGGTGTATGCATCACCTCTCTGTGCCACAGTGTTCACCGATGTGAAATGGGAATAACAGCAGCACCTCCAGTCCAGGGTTGCTATGGGCTCAATTAGCCTGTGCCCATGAGTGAGGGAGCTAGGCCTGGAACAGGGCAGGCTGGCCTGGTTCCTGACCCCAGGGACATTCCATTATCCTGAGATGCTGCCTGTAAAACTGTAAGTGACTAGTAATGAGGCTGAGTGTGGAGTGCTCAGAGCTGCTCTCCCCCACATCATAAAGGCTCCGAAGGCAGGGGATGACTTTCAGCTGGGGAGAGGGAAGATCAAGGAAGACTTTCTGGAGGAGGAGGCATTGAAGCCAGGCCATCGTAGTTGACTGGGAACATTCACTGACATCCTCTCCCTGAATGAAAAGTTGGAAAGGAGTTGAGGATAAGTGGGGATGGGTGGGAGAGTGGTCCCGGCAGAGGTAAGAGTGTGGGCAAAGGCAGAAAGCAAGCTGGGGGAGCCCAGGGAGTGCAGCCCAAGGCCGCAGCTAGTCAGGCAGTAGCTACTCCTGGAATCCAGGCCCTGTGTCCTCGTTCAGAGTCTTTACACCATACCTGGAGGGAGGTCTCAGGGAGAACCAGCACCAAAGACATTGGGTGGAACACATGGGGGCATATTTCAATACCCCACAAATCCCAGTTGCCTGGCAAGGTAGTGAGAGTCCCATCACTGATGGTAGTGAGATCCCTATGAAGACTGTTAGCTTTATATTTTTTTCCTTTAGTTTATGGGTTTAAACAATGTAGCTTTTTAAAAAACATTATAAAAGAACTAATAACAGTGGAACTGATTCAAACAATCCCCCAGAGGATGAAGTCCTTGTTAGTTTTAGCTTCAAGCCTCAGATGGCAGTTGGAATCAATGCTCAGTTTCCAAAAGTCCATTCATCCCCTGAGGTACTCATCTCTGAAGAATCCAGAACTCCAGGGGTCTCAGATCATGATGTGAGAATCAATCCTTTGATTCTAAGACAAGGATTCTAGAATTCCAAGACCCTAAAATTCCCGGTTCCAGAGCTTCAGATGTATTTACAGAAACAAAAGAAAAGCAAAAACTGAGGCCCAGAAAGGTGGACTCAGCTGACTGAGGTCACACAGCTTGTCAGAAGAATTTGAAGTTGGACCAGACTGATACAGAGTCAGGCCAGCTCTCTTTGCATTGAAAAGCCTACGATTCTCGGAAAAAAATCCAGATGCTAAGACACTAAGCTTGAAAACAATAGCGTGCATTTATCAAGCACTTACTTTATGCCAGGCAACTTACATGCATCAGCCCAGCCAGTGCTCACAAGAGTTCTGTGAGGTCAGCATAGGTATTAGCTGCATTTTCCAGATGCATTTCCCAGATGGTAAATTGGGGCTCCAAGAGAAGAGGCTGGGGTGGGGGTGGGGCGCCGCTAGTTAGGGAAGAGGCCAAGAGTTGAACCCAGGTTGGCTTCCCTAACCATTTAGCTTACTGGCTCTCTGTACCCCTAGTCTGTCAGAAGACCATCTCGAGATTCCCAGCAGAGAGTCTCTGATTTCATATCAGAGATGAGAAATCTTGGGCTCTAGGAGATTTCCTGAGGCCACAAAGGATTTGGTCAAACACATACAGGGGTTTTTCCAGCTTTAGAAGTGATTCAATTCAAAGTCTCAGCCCGTTTCTGGTCAGTGAGGGGCGCAGCGAGTGGGAGAGGCAGGACCCCACCCTCACCGTCCCAGGGGTTCCCACCCCATCCCCCCTCCCAAGGCTACCCCTCCTTGGCAGGTCCTTCCCTCCGCCCCCAGTACCTCGGGGGCAGCCAGAGCGGGCGGGGCTGAAGCACTTGGGGCGAGGGGCGGGGAGCGGGGCGGGCAGAGGGAGGAACAATGGCCCCCTCCCCTCTCCTGGCCGGCTGGAGGGTGGGGTCTCCCCGCCCCGCCTCCTTGCTCCTCCCCTGACAAGGCGATGAGGTAATCGCGCCGCCAAGAGGCACGCGCAGCCGGTGCCCAGCCCGGTCGGTCCCGCGCCCCTGCCCCGCGGCCGCCGGTCCCCCCGCACCGTCCTGGCCCCGGCCTCCTGGCCCCACCATGACAGAGCGTTGCAGCCTATGGAGCGCCCTGTCGGCCGCCGCCTGCTGCTTCTACCGCGGCTCCTTCGTGCAGGTGCAGGTGAGGGGGCGCCTTGGCCACTGCTGGGCGCGCCGGGCTGGGACCCCTGGCCGCTCCGCCTGGTGACTAACGGCTGGGGAGCCGCAACCCCGCGGTGCCTGACAGGGTCTGTTCCGGCCGGACGGTAGGCTGAGGGAGGGGAGGGGGCGGGGTCGCCCCAGCTTCACCTCTGGTCGCCCAGACACTCCGCAGGCTGAGGGTCCGGCTGTCATTCCCGGGACTTGGGGTTGCTGGGGATGCCGTTCCGGTACTGCCTCCGTAGCAGGCGGGAGCTGCGCTGGGGCATTGGGTGCGGGGAGATGGAGTCCCCGGCGTCCTGTCGGTCCTCCAGCGAGCACTCCGGCCCCTGAAGCTGACCCGGGCAATAGGGTTCCCCATTGTACCGGGCGTCTTTGGGCTGGGGTCTGAAGGCTGAGTGAGGGGCGGGAACCTGAGGGGATGCCGCAGGTGCCAGTGCTGGGACCACAGCGCCCTCCACACCCCTGCTCTCTAGGTGGGCTCGGGCACTCCTAGGAAGAAGGTCCCGCAACCCAGCTGGCGGGGCAGTGCGGAACGGCGCCTTGGCGGTGAAAGGGTTAAACCGAAGCGGGTGGAGGGGAAGACCCGGACCCCGCCTCTCTGCGGAGCATCCTCTAGGGATGGCTTTACTTGGGTTTGGGATGCCCAGGGGTCTAGAGGGAGGTTGCCGGGCGCAGGGCAGTGGGAAGGGGTTAAGACCTTGACCGAGGGTCTCAGCACTTTTGCCTCCCGAGCTCCTTGGGGGACGCCGGGCGCGTCACCTCTGCGCTCCCGGGGCTCACACACATACACAAGCTTGGAGCCCGCCTGAATGACGGCCCCCTCCGGCGGAGCGCAGCATCCTCACACCGGCCAATCAGGCGCGCGCAGGCCCAGGCGGTGAGATCATCTCTGGCCAATAGCAGCGCGCCGAGCTCAGGGATACTGCATTAGCACCCCAACGCATCCCCTCCCACACTCCCCGCTCCACTTCTGGGAGCTGGGGACCCTCGTGCGAGGGTGAAGGGGAGGGCACAGTGACCCTGGGGTTTCCCATCCTCCTAGTCCTCAGACAGATGCGCTTGGCTGTGTTGAGAACCACCCCCCTCCCCAATTCTCTGACTATTGATTAGGGCTGGAAAAAAGGAGCTCGAATCTCTCCTCCTCTTTAACAGATGTTACCCAGGTCAGAGAGGGGAAGTGACTGGCTCAAGATCACACGGTGGCAAAGTCTTAGGGCCAAGCTCTTTTCCACACAGCCCCCTCCCCTTTTCTGCCCCATATCCCTCATGCCCCTAGCTGTGGAACTGGTAGAAGTTCTCAGATGCATGCTCTTTGTCAAGGAAAAGGGCCCAAAAGCTAGGGTAATGGTCCCCCTTTCCCCCTGTGACCCCCTACTCTCCCCCTTCCCAGGGCTTGGTGTAGTATGAGAGGTGAGGAGGCCCAGTGGGTGTGAGGAGGGAGGCCAGGGACCCCCCAAGAATAGGGGACCTCTCAGAGAAGTGTAGGTATCTGAGAAGGCCCAAATCTCAGCCCAGCTGAGCCCTCCCTGTCCTCCCCACCCTCCCATCGGTTTTTACCATGGACAGAGGATGTTCAGACTCTGGATAAACCCTGCTTCTCCTCTGATCACCCGCTTGAGCACCTGTACACACTCCCACCCCCGCCATCTGTCCCCAGAGCCCTGCAGGCCCCTCACAGCCCAAATTTTCATGGGCCCACTGCCAAGCTGCTCTTGCCCCAGCCTTGCCCACCTCAGAGAGTGTCTCATTGCCCCTTCCAGGATCTCAACCTGGCAGTCCTCTCTGACCCCTCAGTCCTCTTCCCCTAACCCAACCAATGTCCATCTAAGTGCCCTCCCCCTACTCGCTATCTCCACGCCCTACCCTGCCCTGCTGTTGCTTGGAAAGCAGCCCACACAGCAGATCAAACTCTGCCCCAACACTTAAAAGAATCTTCTGTGACTCTGCTTTAGCCATCTGGGTAAACTCCAACGTCCCTAGGCAGCCTCAAGGCCCTGCCACACCTGCGCCTGCCACCCCTCCTCCCCAGCCCCTTTGAAGCTTTTAACCCATCCTCCCCCTTCCACCCAGCCCTTGGCTCTGCCCGCAGGGCCCAAACTTTACCACTGTATTCTCACAAGCTCTTCCCTGCCCTCCTGCTCTCCCCACCCTGATGCTTTTGCTTGGTTGATCCAATCCTCCTACAGGCCTCAGTGGAAACATCTTTTCAGAGAAGCCCTCCCTGCCCCTGCCCCTGACTAGATGGGGGCAGAGGGAAGAAGGGAGTTCTCATTTGGTCCCAGAGCTCTCTGGGTATCACAGAACACTCCAAAAACCTGTCATTGCTTGTCAGTGTCTGTCCTGCTTCTGCACATGGGCTCTCCCAGGACAGGGTCTACCTGTCCTGGTCATCTTGGGGTCCTGGCCTCTGGCAGAGGACCTGACTTAGAGTGGGTCTTAGTCAATGTTGTTGAATGAATGGAGTCAGAGATTCTAGATTTCTCTGAAGCTGGGAATCAGGGTCTTAGAAGCAGTGTCGATTGGCATAAACTGAGGCAGTGTGCGAGCAGAGGAGTGAAGTGTGGAGCTGCAGAATTAGCATCTGAGATCTGTGGAAGAGCTGAAGAGACAGGGAGTGGACCAGAGGACCCTTGGACTCTGAGGAGCAGGGAGCCCTGGAGAGAGATGCTACCTGGGCTGAAGTTGGGCCCTTTAGCCCCCCACCCCCCACCATCTTCCCTGCCTCCTGGCCAGCCCTGCGATCTGTCCTGGGGCACCCAGACAAGGTTCTGTCAAGGCTGAGCAATCTTTGGGGCCTGGAGCTGGGAGAATGGAGGGGAAAAGAATGTCTCATGTTCTCACAGTGACAAGGGCATTTGTGTGCTAGAGCAGTGCTCTGGAGAGAGAGATGAACGCTCTCTCTCCTTTTATTCTGGCAATGCTGTGAGGCAGGTTCTGTCATCAAACCCTTTGTACAGATGAGGAAGCTGAGGCTCAGAAAGGCAAAGTCATTTTCTCAAGGCCACACAGCTTGTGAGGCAGTATTCGTACCTGGGTCCAGCCAGGCACTACCATGCTGGTTGTCATCTAACGCTACTGATCCCTCACAGCTGCATGGGTGCTGTTATTTGCAAAGTGCTTCTTCGTCTATAGAGGCTCTCCTCATAAGGAAGCCTGTGAGGTAGGCTAGGCAGAGCACACCACCTCCATTGCACAGAGGAGGAAACTGAGGCCCAGAGAACTCACTTGGCACAGCTAGGATTGGGCTGGGCTCCATAGTGGGGGTTTAGCTGGCAGCGGGGTCTCCTCCCACTGCCCCTGCCCTTAGGGCCCTTGGGGTTTGTCAGCCTCTAACTCCCAGGCCACAGGAACCAGGGAACTAGAAACATCCCTTCTTGGGGAGGTGGATCAGTGTAGTCCTGGGCGTTATCTCTAGCGGGTTACCATGGGTTTCCCTGCTGGGCTTCAACTGCCCCACCTGACAGGATTGCTTGAGAAGGCAAGGGGCAAGGGATTGGGGAATTGTAAAGGGCAACCCAGATGACATTTGTCTGTATGTGAGGGCCTCTGTGGCCCTGTTTATGGGCCCTCCCTGACGCTTAACTGTATAATTCACCTTCCCAGAATGTATCCTTGCCCAGACAGCCCATGCCTTTGCCTGAAGTACCTCTGCCTTGTCTCCCCATCCACCTATAGAAATCCCTCCTGACCCCACTTTCAAGATCAGCTACAGCCTTGATGTCCCTAGCATATAGTTAGTGTTATTGCCACCTCCTCCAGGAAGTCTTCATTGACCCCTTCACCACCTAGACTTCATCATCTCCCTTCTAAATAGACCTGGCTCTTCTCTGCCGCTGTCCAGTATTGTGGTGCTGACCTCAGTTGGCTTGGATGCTCACATCAGCTTTTGCCTTCTCTTAAATTGGGATGTTCCTTGAGGGTTTGGGTTTATTTATTGCTGCATCTACCCTGGCACATAGCATGGGGCCTGGCACACTTTGGGCACAGTTTGGTGGAAAGAATTGAGATTTCTTTACTCCTGCTGCTCTAGAGAGCCAGGAGTGCAGGATCCCAGCAAGCCCCTTGAGTGAGGGTCTTCCTGGCACCTGTGCCTCAGTGTTCCCAGAGTCCTAAGATGGAAGGAGTTCACTTGAGGGGGTAAGGTTGTGAGGGGAAGAAGAAGGGAGCTTTTCTGATAGATCCCAACTCTTGCTGTCTCCCACCCAGTTCTCTAAGGAGAAGTACATTCTGGACTCATCGCCAGAGAAACTACACAAGGAGTTAGAGGAGGAACTCAAACTCAGCAGCACAGATCTTCGCAGCCATGCCTGGTACCATGGCCGCATTCCCCGTGAGGTGAGTGGGCCCTGAGTTGGGATCTCAGTATGACCTTCCGCCTACTGCCTCGGCTGGCCCCAGCACTGGCCCCAGCTACCAAGAGGCTCTGGCGTATTGCTTGGCAGGTTCAATCAAAGTGAACTGCGATGATGTCTAGCTCTGCCATTTACTGACTGTGTGACCTTGAGTAAGTCACTTCACCTCTCTGAACCTCAATTTCCTCATCTGTAGGATAGGCATACTAATAGTACCTAACTAATAGTACCTAACTCAAAGATTTGCTGTGAGAATTAAATGAAATAATGCATGTAAAGTGCTTAACATGATGCCTGACACATAGAAAGCTCAAAAGAATGTTGGCCCCTGTATTGTTACTGTTACTGGTCTATATATCATCCTCTTGTGTTTGGCTAGGAAGTACCCGTCTTAGGCTACTCAGTTTTGGCAAAGTTGAGTTTCTGGGCTGAGGTGACTTCACAGGCACAGACTTGGGCTGTTGGATCACATCTGTTCCCTCTTTCATTTGCACTGAAAATCTTTGTCAAGTGCCACCTCTGTGCCAGGCTCTGTGCTGGGCACCAAGGACACAGAGATAAAAGATGTGGTAGCTTCCGTAGAGGGCTTGTGGCCCAGGGCAGAATCTGACAGCAGGCAGGCAGTGAGGAGCTGGTGTGAGAAGTTCAAGAATGAAGCATCCTGCATGAGTGCCGGTGAGCCTGAGGAAGGGGTCCTGGGGAGGGAGCAGCTCTGTCTGCTAGACGGAGGCCTTTGAGAGATGGAGAGGAGTTCAGTAGATGGGTGGGATGGGAAGGGCGCCTCAGGCTGAGAGAACAGCTTGAGGATGCAAAGGCCCAAGACAGCCAGAGTCCTGGGTGATTGGAAAAATGAGGCTGTGGAATTCTCTCTGCCCAACGGGAGCCCGAGAAGGAATGGATCTGAGACTTGGGTCTCAGATCACAGAGACCCTCAAACTTCTCCAGGCCCCAGGGCCTTGTGACTTCCATTCCAGGGTATTGATGTCCTCCCATTCCTGAGCCTCTGTGCCCTAGACCCTGGGCTGAGGTGCCTCCTCTGAATCTGGGTCATTGTGTCCCCGTCAAGCTTCAGATGTCTCTGTTCACTGTGTCCCCCAGGCCTGGATCTCTGGCCTTCCCTGACCCTGTCCTACTCCAGCCTCACCATGTCCCCTTGCAGGTCTCCGAGACCCTGGTGCAGCGCAACGGTGACTTCCTCATCCGGGACTCACTCACCAGTTTGGGTGACTACGTGCTCACGTGCCGCTGGCGCAACCAGGCCTTGCACTTCAAGATCAACAAGGTGATAGTGAAGGCGGGTGAGAGCTACACCCACATCCAGTACCTGTTCGAGCAGGAGAGCTTCGATCATGTGCCCGCCCTTGTGCGCTATCATGTGGGCAGCCGCAAGGCCGTGTCAGAGCAGAGTGGTGCCATCATCTACTGCCCCGTCAACCGCACCTTCCCACTGCGCTACCTTGAGGCCAGCTATGGCCTGAGCCAGGGCAGTGGCAAGGCTGCCAGCCCTGCCAGCCCCTCGGGCCCGAAGGGCAGCCACATGAAGCGGCGCAGCATCACCATGACCGACGGGCTAACCGCTGACAAGCTCACCCGCGGTGATGGCTGCCCCACTAGGTAAGCCAGGACCCTGCACTAGGCCTCATTCTCCCTGCTGGTCAAATGGGGGTGTTGGTAACAAGAGCACTGGTGAGAAAAGGGAGGCCCTGTTCACGCTGAACGAGGTGAAGTTATTCTCCTGGAATGTCTGTGCAGGAAAGAACAGGAGGAAGGTCAGGAAGTACCACACGGAGTGTCCTTAGCCTGTCACTTCTCCTCTCTGACCCTCATGTTCCTACCATAAACTGCTCTTACCCAAGCTCTAGCTTAGGAGGAGCTCTGGCTGCTGTCCTATCCTTGGGAGGGGACCTGGGCCCTGCCACCCTTCTCCACCCCACCCAGCTGGGCCAGTGTGGGCATCACAGCAGAGGCCTCTGCAGTATAGAAACCTCGGCACAGGGAATGGAGTGTTCTCAGCAACATTTTAAGAACTCCCAGTTGCAGAGGAAGACCAGGGCTTAAGATCTCAGGAAAACCCACAGCAGCTGATCAGTCCTGAGGCCCTACTGTGCGCCTAGTCCTGTGCTTAGTGCTGTGTCTGATCTTACCGACCCCCACTTACCCCAGGGAGGCAGGTCCTATCCCCACTTTATAGATAAGGAAACAGGCTTAGAGAGGGGAAGCCACTTGCTGGAGATGGTAGGACCAATATTCAAACCCAGGTCTGCTGACTTCAAAATTTGTGCCCCTAGTTGCTACCATCTCCCCAGTTGTTTGCAGAGACCCGGTGACCTATGCCCCCAGCAGCTGGATAGGCCCCCACAACCCCATCTCCTTGGGTCTAGGCTGGGGGCTGCCAGCTGAGGAATTGATGGATGGATATTCTATGGCTAGCAGCCACTTGGTCTGTGTTTTGGAACCAGTGGCTGTGATGGCGCCAGGAGCCACAGTCATGTGTGCCCAAGGTATCCTGAGCATGGTGCGGAAGCAGTGAGGAAGGGCCAGGCTGGCCAGCTGGGTTCCCTCAGGCTCCCCAATCACTGGCTTGTCCCTGACCCCAGACAGTTCTCCAAGTTGGGGGCAAAGTTTTTAGGGAAGGGAGTCGTGTAGGTTGTATACTGCACAAGGGATTCTGGTCCAGGGGGCAGAAGGGAGCTGAAATCCAGCCCACCCTCTGTTCATTAAACTGGGGGCTCATCAAGCTGGGGGCACCAGAGGATGGATGTGATTTACTAATTTGTCCAAAAGCAACATGGGGGCTAGTAGGGGTTCTGAGCCCCCTCCCTTCTCCTTCTAGTGACAGGAGGGATACAGAGGAGCCTGAGAAGCCATGGCTCAGCCTGGTGTCCCCAAGCCTAGCCTCTTAGGCTGGTCTCAGCCTTGTGGGAGGGAAATGCTGGGTAGGGGTGGAGAAAGAGAGCAGGATATGTTGAAGGTACTAAACAGACACCGAGTGAGTGAAAGCAAAGACTGGAATGTGCTGGCCAAAGTCCTGCTGGGGAGTCAAGGCCTCGGTTCCCACCTCTGCTCCTGACTTGCTGTGTGACCTGTTAAGCGCTTTCTCCTCTGGATTTCAGTTTCTTTTTACTTGTCAGTGGAAAGGTAGGACTTGATAATCCCAATCCTTTCTGGCTCTGAAGTTCAAGGGATTGAGGATAGAGGCAGAGGTGGGGGTCACCGGGGCTGGCTGCCCCCCAGGCTCCATGCTTATGAAGGTGTCTGCTCCACAGTGCGTCACTGCCCCACCCCCGGGAATCCATCCGCAACTGTGCACTCAGCATGGATCAGATCCCAGACCTGCACTCGCCCATGTCCCCCATCTCCGAGAGCCCCAGCTCCCCCGCCTACAGCACCGGTATGGCCCAGGGAGAGGGGAGGGGCAGGGCGGGGGCGTTCAGGTGGACTGACTCTGTGTGCACACGTGTGTACTGTCTTTGATGACTTCTGTTAGCTGGTGTACAATTGTGTTTTTGCCTCTCTAGTGACACAACTTTGCAATGCCCTACAAGAATTTACACTAAAAATCTGCCAGTGGAACTACTGATGTCGACCTATCTGTGGCTTGTTCATTCAACAATGATTTGTTAAGTCCCTTTTGGATACCAGGCACTGTGCATGAAGGGGATTTCCAGTGTGTTCTTCAGGATGCAGTGAAGTCTGACAGGGGCCCTGTGTTGCTGGGCCTGGTCTCAGATGCTGTGAATTTCACCCATGCAATAATACTCAGCTCGCATTGGTCGAGCTCTTCCTGAATGTAGGCTCTCTGCTGGCTCTGCTTCGGCTGGAACTCCAGTGACTTAGCTCCATGGTTCCAAGTGGCCGGCTCAAACAAAATTAGTTCGGCTGTACCTTTTTTTTTGTTTTTTAATATGAAGAAAGTTTCTATTGTAGAAAACATGCCATTAGTTAATTTCTGTTGGGGGAGGGGGGAGTTTTCAACTGGTCATATTGTCCACATGGCAGGCAAAGTGTTGTGAGAGAGGGGCAGTTCCAGGAGGAACCTTTGCCTGGAGAGGCGTTCTGTTGGAGTGTTGCTGTCTGTACATGTCATCACAAATCCTTCCCTAAATATAGGGTCATCAACTCAGTCAAAACTACAAACATGCCATCAAAACAACACCCCTGACTATAAAAACACTTGCCAGAAATTATAATTTCTAAGTAATGAGGAGTAATAAAATAACCCAGGAGTCAGGACTTAACACCTGGTTTTAAATCCCAGCTCCACCACTTGCTGGCTGTGTGACCTTGGGCAGGTCAGTTCACCTCTCTGAGCCTCAAGTTTTTTCACCTGTACGATGAGGATCATAAAAGTACTTACTTCACAGACATGTTGAAAGGATTAAATGGACTAATGTGCAGACAAGGCAGCAAGAGCTCAATAAATGTCATCTCTGATTTTTGCTGATGGTTTTACTGTTGCTGACCAGTGTATCTCCAGCATGTAACCAGCTTCTGGCACACAATGTGTATTCAATAAATCATTATTACTAATTCTTTGAAAGATAATTCCATGTGGCACAATGAACTCCAGCAAGTGCTTAGTTTCCCTGAATCACTGGAAGTTCTTTCAGGCAGTTCAGTGGTTCTTCAAGGGCTTCAGCACTGTTAGGGCTCTGGTATGCAAACTCTGGGGGGCCACGTTATTTCAGAGTATCACCAAGGGCTGGTCAGTTTGCCAGAGTCTTCTGGGACTGGCCTCCACCCTGTGTGGGGAGGCAGGGGTGCTCCCCTGTAGGGTGAAGCCTACCGTTTGGGGAGGGGGTGATGACCTCACTGGTGAGGGGCCCCAGTAACCAGTCCTCTCCCTCTCTCTCTCTGCAGTGACCCGTGTCCATGCCACCCCTGCGGCCCCCTCTGCCACAGTGCTGCCTGCCTCTCCTGTCACCCGCCGTTCCAGCGAGCCCCAGCTGTGCCCTGGAAGTGCCCCAAAGCCTACTGGGGAGTTGGACAAGGGCCCTCATGCCAGCCCCTCCCATAGCCTCTGCAAGGCCTCCCCATCCCCATCTCTCAGCAGCTACAGTGACCCGGACTCTGGCCATTACTGCCAGCTCCAGCCTCCCATGTGTGGCAGCCGTGAGTGGGCAGCAGCTGAGGCCTCCAGCCGGCAGGCCAGGAGCTACGGGGAGAAGCTAAAGGAACTGTCAGAAAATGGGGTCTCTGAGGGGGACTGGGGCAGGGCCTTCACAGTCCCCGTTGTGGAAGCCACTTCTTCCTTCAACCCAGCCACCTTCCAGTCACTCCTGATCCCCAAGGACAACCGGCCGCTGGAGGTGGGCCTCCTGCAGAAAGTCAAGGAGCTGCTGGCAGAGGTGGACGCCCGGACGCTGGCCCGGCATGTCACCAAGGTTGACTGCCTGGTAGGTGCTAGATGCTGGCAGTACCTGTCCTCTGGTCTTGGGACAGAGGTCAGAGTGATGAGGTGCTGGCCTCCACATTTCCCCAGTATAGCGACTGGGCCTGGATTCTAGCTTCATGGTTGTCCTTCACCTGTTGTGTGACTCTTGGCTGCTCACTTTGCCTCTCTGGGCCTCCATTTTCTCCTTTAAAAAAGCAAAAAAAAGAAGACATTCTTGTTCCTTCCAGGTGTCAGTTTGGCACTGAAACTGGGCAGTCTTGGTGTCTGGCTCCCTGGGACACTTGGGGCACCAACCTGGACGTCCCATAATGAGGCTGCTGAAAGAAAGTCAGCCGGCTGGTCCAGGGAATATAAAAGGGCTGACTGCCCACCCCAAGCCCCCTAGTAGAAAAATAAGGAAAAATCCATTACCTTGGCCTATAAATTGTAAAAGCCTGTGCCTTTGTTTTGTGTGAGTCTTTGGTCATCTGAGGATCCCAACTCACTCTATGCCTCAGTTTCTCCCTTTGTAGCTTGGGGGTACTGATTTCCTGGTCTCACTGGCCTCATAGCCCGGGAAGCAAGAAACGAGACAGGACAGAGATGTTGCTCCGTGAGCCCTTTCTCTTCCTGGGCCTCAGGTTTGCCCTCTGGAATAAGGGTGCCTTGGTCCTTCACCTTAATTGAATAATTAACATGCCAGGTACCTCTGGGCATCTTCCCATTTATCCCCCATTTTACAGATGGAGAAACTGAGGCTTACTCAAGAGAGGTAGAATCCTTGCCAGAGGGTTAGCAGCGGAGCTGGGATTCAAACCGGGCCTTGCAGGTTGTCCTCCAAGATAAAGCTCTTTCTCTCCCAGATGGCTTGGGCCATCCGTGACAGGAAATTAATCAACCCTCTGGGCGTCCTTGCAGGTTGCTAGGATACTGGGCGTTACCAAGGAGATGCAGACCCTAATGGGAGTCCGCTGGGGCATGGAGCTGCTCACCCTACCCCACGGCCGGCAGCTACGATTAGACCTGCTGGAAAGGTAAGGCAAGCACCAGCACCTGGGGAACCGCAGGGAACCCCCACAGGTTACCTCACTCACCTTTTGCTCTGCCCGGTTGGCCAATCAAGTTTCTCAGCCAGGCTCCCCGGGGGCACTGGCCACGCCCCCTAATCCTAGTGACCAATCACAACTTTTCAATATTCAGCCCTATGCAACCCTGGTTTTCCAAAGACTGAGTCTTTTATCTCCGTATTCATGTTTTGCATCCCCTTGACCAGTCATAGCCCATCAACCTTCACCCCGCCTCTCAGTCTGTGTTCTCTTCCTTCGTTCTTAAACAGCTCTGCCTGCGGAATTCCACAGATCGATCACAAGCCCCTCAGTCTGATGCGCAGGGGTTATGACCCCGCCCCCGACCCATACAGACCAATCATAAAGCCTTAAGCCGCCATTCTGGCCACACCTCCCAAGTCTCACTGACGCATCACAACCTCTTGACTTTTGCCTCTGCCCTGCTCAACAACCAGAAGGGGCAGCCCCCCCCGGCCCCGCCCCTTCTGACTCGGCCTCTCCGACAGGTTCCACACCATGTCCATCATGCTGGCGGTGGACATCCTGGGCTGCGCCGGCTCCGCTGAGGAGCGGGCGGCGCTGCTGCACAAGACCATCCAACTGGCGGCCGAGCTGCGGGGGACCATGGGCAACATGTTCAGCTTCGCCGCGGTCATGGGCGCTCTGGACATGGCTCAGGTACTGAGGGGCCCAGTAGAGCAGGGCATCTGGCAGACTGTCTGGAACAGCCCTGAGATAACGTTCTTTGCGATGGCTGTATATCCAATTGGGAAGAGCTGTGATTTTCTAGGCAGTATTGGTGAAAGGGCAACTGGGCGAACTGAGTTTTCCAGCTGCTGACCTGCCCTGAGAGGGTGACCAAGTCCTTTCCCTTCTCTGGCTGTCAGTTCCCCCATCTGTCAGATGAGTGAGGAACGTTATGAGTTTAAAGCATAACAGTAAAACAGCTCTCTTTAGTGAGCATTTACCATGTACTAGCTGCTACACTGAGCACTTTACAAGCACTGATCCCTCCAAACACTATGAGGTAGATGTTTTTATGTCCCCATTTTATATATGGAGAAATTGAGGCAGAGCAGTAACTTGCCTAAGACCACACTGTAACAGGCTGAAAGAGTCAGAATTTGACAAGTGTTTTACTTGAGCTTGAACCTTACCCACACTACAGTGACTCTCCTATGCCTAACAAATAATAACAGCATCCCAGAGACAATGTCCATGGTTCAGCTTCCAGCTCTACCACTTATTTTCTGAATAACTTTGGGCAAGCCAAGCCATTCCTGTGAGTCTTAGTTTTCTCATCTGTAAAATGGGTTGTTGCAAGGGCTACATGAGGTACATATGAAAAGCAGTCAGCATTCTGATTGGTGCATGAATGGTGACAGTAAGAATTATTATGATTCATATGCTGGCTTTCCACTCAGTGTAGTTGCCTGTGGCCAGTGGCCCCTGCAGCCCCTCCCTGGCTGGTTGCTCACAGTCTGGTCTCTCCAGATCACCCGGCTGGAGCAGACATGGGTGACCCTGCGGCAGCGACACACAGAGGGCGCCATCCTGTATGAGAAGAAGCTCAAGCCATTTCTCAAGAGCCTCAATGAAGGCAAAGGTATCTCTCCAACCTTGCTGTGTGACCTTGGACAGCCAGCCCACAGGTTTCAGCCCTCTTGGGCCGGCAAAGACTCTCCCAGTGTGGACTATGAGGGCTTGACTGAGCTCTAGGCAAGCTATCCTCCCTTAGGTCACATTCCGTATCTGGCAAATGTGTAAGCTGAGTCAGGGCTGGGCCAAGGCTGCAGTGAGTGGCTGGGGCTATGGGTTCAGCTGGGGGAATCTATTGTTGTTGTTGTTAGGTGCCGTCCAATCAGTTCCGACTCATAGCAACCCTACGTACAACACTGCCTGGTCCTGCGCCATACTCATAATCATTGTTATGCTTGAGTCCATTGTTGCAACCACTGTGTCAGTCCATCTCGTTCAGGGTCTTTCTCTTTTCTGCTGACCGTCTACTTTACCAAGCATGATGTCCTCCAGGGACTGTTCCCTCCTGATAACATGTCCAAAGTACATGAGACAAAGTCTCACCATCCTTGCTTCTAAGGAACATTCTGGCTATACTTCTTCCAAGACAGATTTGTTCGTTCTTCTGGCAGTCCATGGTATATTCAATATTCTTCACCAACACCATAATTCAGAAGCATTAGTTCTTCAGTCTTCCTTATTCACTGTCCAGCTTTCACATGCATATGAGGCGATTGAAAATACCATGGCTTGAGTCAGGAGCACCTTAGTCCTCAAAGTGACTTCCTTGCTTTTTAACGCTTTAAAGAGGTCTTTTGCAGAAGATTTGCCCAATGCAAATTGTTTGATTTCTTGACTGCTGCCTTCCACGGGGGAGTCTGTACGGAAGGTTTTGTCCCAGGAGTTAGGGGCACTGGAGGCTCTCTCTGGGACCTCAGGTGGGCTCCTTTCCCTCCTGCAACTCAGTTTCTAGGACCGCAGTGAATGTTTGGGTCCTTGAGGATCTCTAAGTGCCTGCTGTCTCCCTCCCTGCAGAAGGCCCGCCGCTGAGCAACACCACGTTTCCTCATGTGCTGCCACTCATCACACTGCTGGAGTGTGACTCGGCCCCAGCTGAGGGTCCTGAGCCCTGGGACAACACGGAGCACGGCGTGGAGGTGGTGCTGGCCCATCTGGAGGCTGCCCGCATGGTGGCACACCACGGAGGCCTGTACCACACCAATGCTGAGGTCAAGCTGCAGGGTGAGTGATGGGTTGCATCTGGCAGGGGCAGAAAGATGGGGAAAGACAGTCACTGATCTTGTGGCCTGGGCCTCCCTCCACCTGACTTGCTGCTCTCACTTTCTCCAAATGTCCACCCGTTTCTCCCCATCCCTCTCTTTCCCACCCTGTCTCCTGTCACCCTTTTCTCATCCTTTCTCTTTATTCACTCATTAATTCAACAAGCATTTATTAATCGCAGGCACCATGCTGGGGTAGGAGGACACACAGATCATTCAAAGGGCACCTTAGCGGTGTCTTAGTTTCTCTGAGTCTCAGTTTCCTCATCTGTGAAGTGGGCATTTTAGCAGGCCTACTTTACAAGGTTGTCTGCAAAGCACTTTGGCCTTGGGTCCTCACGCTGAGACAGACCTGAGCTGCCTTCAAGGAGCTCACAGTCTAGTTAAAAGGTAAAACTCCCCTTCATGAAAGGACCAAAGAGAGACAAAGTGGCTTTAGATAATCTTTTACTGTCCTAGGCAATACTTAAGTCATAAAATTCACCGTAGATAAATTGGAAATTACAGCTGAGCAAACACAAGATTAAAAAAAAAAAAATCACTCGCAATGTAATTACCCAGAGGTAAATGTTGTGAACATTCTGGTGTACATTTTTCTGCCTTTTTATTTTTCAGGAAAAAAAAATACTTTTTTACATTTAATTACACCATTTATACATATTTTTTAGAAAAAAAATTCATAGGAAAATTCAAAAAAGAAAAGAAAAATTACCCAAGATCTCAGAAAAATTGTTAACATTAATATTTAATCTTCTAGTCACTTTTAAATTCTATATTCCGAATAGTAGGTCAGAGAAAACCAAAACCAAACAAAACTCTTTGCCACTGAGTCAATTCCAACTCACAGTGACCCTGTAAGACAGAGTAGAACTGCCTTATAGAGTTTCTTAGGCTATAATCTTTACAGGAGCAGATCACCAGGTCTTTTCTCCCGAGGAGTGGCTGGTAGGTTCGAACCGCCAATCTTTTGGTTAGCAGCTGAGAGTTTAACCACTGCACCACCAGGGCGCCTCTTTTAGGTCAGAGAGCAGGTGCTAAACTATGCGGTTATGTTCATTCAACAAACCTGGGAACTCTGATGGAGCTGGGGGGAGACCCCCAGGAGTAGAGCCCTGAGAGGTATAATAGGCAGGATGATGGTGGTCCCCTGACCTCTGTGCCCTTACCCTGCAGGGTTTCAAGCCAGGCCGGAGCTCCTGGAGGTGTTCAGCACGGAGTTCCAGATGCGCCTCCTCTGGGGCAGCCAGGGTGCCAGCAGCAGCCAGGCCCGACGCTATGAGAAGTTCGACAAGGTCCTCACTGCCCTGTCCCACAAACTGGAGCCTGCCGTCCGCTCCAGCGAGCTGTGACCTCCAGGGACCTTCCCCCTCTGCAGCTGCGGGCAGCATCGGGGCAGAGAGGGGCACTGACTTTCACAGCACCCCAGGGACACTGTGATCATCCGAGAATGTTCTGGGTTCAACTCCAGGATCTCCCTTGCTCCTCCAAGGCCCTGCATGGATGCTGGGCTCTGTCCCATCTGCTACAAGCTCAGCGAGTCTCTCTTCAGGAAGAACCAGAACTCCTGTTCCTCCCACCAGCTTCTGCTTCTCATCTTCCTGCCGAGGTTCCCTGTTGTTGAGCCATGGGAGGCTCCTCACACCTCCTCACACCTCCCCAGGCATCTGCTCCCTCATCCCACCACCACCACCAAGGCCTCCATCTTGCTGTAAATAACTATCTGTTCTGTAAATAGATGTACAGAAGCCATGGTTTTTCTTTCATATAATAAACTTTTATGACTCTTTCTTCTGTCTCTCACGGGGCCCTGGGGAGGAAGGAAGTACCTTTTCTTAGGTGAAAAGTGGAAACATTTATTCAGCAAATATTTATTTAGCACCTGGGACATTCCAGATTAAGCCAGGAGCCAGGGTTACAGCAAATACTAAAACCCAGTCCCTGCGCTCGAGGAGCTTACACACCAGTTAGCTCACAGCTAATTCCAACCCAGTGGGAGAGATGGTTGGCCTGACCCCCACTCCTGCCCTATTCCCTGCTGTAGGAAGCCACAGCAATAATTTGCACAAACACACAACCAAGGATCTGAGATGTTTGGTGGTGGAAAGTCTCTTTGAAAACCAAAGACTGGAGAGAGAACGTACTTTTCCCTCACAGTAGCAGAAGGGGGAAGACTAGAGTTACTTCCTTTTCTCTCCATAAGAACGGGAGCTATTAATGTCTTCCCAGGCTTTGAAATGTGGCCCCAGAAATCTGTGTATGTGTATACGGATGGGGTGGGGTGAGGAGGTGGGCCATGAAGGCAGTTGTCTTGGTTCCCTTACTCCAGTTGGTGGGGAAGTAGGCAACAGGCCTGGGGAGCCTGTTCACTGAATTGAAAATGTCTAGGGTCCTTTGTTTCTGAATCCTTTGACAAAGATAGGCTAGATAACATATAACTTAGTGTTATTAGATCTTTGGTGGCAGCCAGACTTGGGTTTAATTGTATTGTTTATTAGCTGAGTGACTTTGGATAAGAGGTTTAACCTCTTGTGTTCCCAGTTTCCTCAGTAAAATGGGGAGAATAACAGAGCCTATCCCCTGGGATGAGAAGCCCCGGTGGCTCAGTGGTTAAAACACTCAACTGCCCATCAAAAGGTTGGCCATTGGAACCCCCCAGCCACTCTGCAGGAGAAAGATGAGGTAGTCTGCTTCCATAAAGATTTACGGCCTTTCAAACCTTATGGGGCAATTCTACTCCATTCTATGGGGTTGCTATGTGTTGGAATTGACTCCACTGCAGTGGGTTTGGTTTTGGTTTCTCCTAGGGTTGATTTTGGAGACCTGGTGGTTCAGTGGTTGAGAACTCAGCTGCTAACCAAAAAGTCAGCAGTTCAAATCCACCATCAGCTCCTTGGAAACCCATGGGGCAGTTCTACTCTATCCTATAGGGTGCTGTGAGTCGGAATCGACTTGATGGCAACGGTTTTTTTTTTTTTTTTTTGGTTAGGGTTGATTTTAAAGCACTTAGCACATAGTTGCTGTTGGTAAGAGACAGCCATTTTCATACATAATGGATTACCAATGACCATTTATTGATTACCTTCTGAGCCCAAGCCCTTTATGTGTCTGTATCTCACTGAAATAGCACCATTTCTCTGCATGGTAGGTACTATTGTCATATTATAAGATATAACGCATCTAACACTAACGAAAGAGTCTCTGGATGACACAGTTAAGTGCTGGAGCTCTGGACTACTAGCAGAAATGTTAGCAGTTTGAACCAACCCAGAGGTGCCTCGGAAGTGAGTCCTGACGATCTGGTTCCAAAAGGTCACAACCCTGAAGACCCTTGGAGTGCAGCTCTACTCCGTAGACATAGGGTTGCCACGTGTCGAGAATGGACCCCACCGCAACTAACAATAATAACAGCACATAGTAGGTGCTCACCAAAAGTTATTAGTAAGCGTTCTTTTGTGATGAAAAAGAAAAAACAGAGCATGGAAAAGGTGCTTTGCAAGGTATAAGGTGCAGTACACGTTTTTGCTATTATTGTTACGTTTCCCTTTGTGGTCATAATAATTTATTCTTTCTGAGCTACTATGCTGGTCATCTGGAGCCCTGGTGGCTCAGTGGTTAAGAGCTCTGCTGCTAACCAAAAGGTCAGCTGTTCAAATCCACCAGCCGCTCCTTGAAAACCATATGCGGCAGGTCTACTCTGTCCTACAGGGTCGCTAGGAGTCAGAATCTACTTGACCGCAACGGGTAAAGGCTGGTCGTCTAGTTACCGTGACTATGGAAATACGGCCTGCCGCCCCTGATTGGACGGTTCACGGGCTCCCCCTGGAGGCCGCCTTCCGGTCCTGCTGCAGGACTACGGGGCGGGTGTTTAAAAGGGGTGAGAGGGGAGCCGGGAGTTGTAGGCGAAGGACGGTGGCTACCGCGGAGCAGTGCACGCCGGGAGTTGTAGTTTTCGGGAGAGGCAGGTGACATCCCCCGAGAGAGCTCGGGCTTCACCTGGATGGCGGCTGCGACGCGCGACTGCTGGCCCTGGGGCTCTTTCCTCGGGCTGCTCGGGTTGGTCTCAGCCGCGGCCGCCGCCTGGGACCTGGCTTCGCTGCGCTGCAACTTCGGCGACTTCTGCGAGTGCGACTTCCGGCCCGACTTCCAGGGTGAGGAACCGCGGGAGTCCGGAGCAGAGGGGCTGGCATACGGGGGAGCGCTCGGACCCCGGGGTTCCCTCGGGGCCGGGGCAGCTGTGGACCCGAGGCAGCTGTGGACCTTAAGGGTAGAACCGAGGGGCAGGATCCCTAGACGTCCGAATGGCCAGGGTCAGAAGTGGGCCCGGCGTTGAGGGAACCAGAGAGCCTCCGGCACGGGGCTGGGGAGAGGGTTTGGGGTGGCTTACTGGGGCTTGAGCAGAGCCCTGCCCGTGGAGAGAGGGCCTTTGACAGCAGAGCCCTTGTGGGGACGTTCTAGGCATCCAAAGAGTGGACTGGCGGTCAAGGGAATAGCTTGCTTTGGGGATGGGTGGGGGTCTGAGGCATACCGTGTAGACAGCACGAACCTACTTAAGGTTGAGTGCAATCTGAAGGACCGCCTAATGGGGGCGCTGCCAAACTGAGCCAAGCCTGAAGCTGGTGCTTGCAGCCAGAGACCCTGAGGGCCTCACTTCCACCTCATTTCCATAGACAGCTTGTAAACAATGTCCCAGAACACAGGGGTCCCTAGACCAGGTTCCCCCTTGAAAATCTCCTCCTTGGTGGGGATGTGTCCCTGGTTCTCACATTGTCCTTCTTTGGCCCTAGGTCTGGAGTGTGATCTGGCCCAGCACCTGGCCGGTCAGCACCTAGCCAAGGCGCTGGTGGTGAAGGCGCTGAAGGCCTTCGTGCATGACCCGGCCCCCAAAAAGCCGCTGGTCCTCTCCCTGCATGGCTGGACAGGCACCGGCAAGTCCTATGTCAGCTCCTTGCTGGCACACTACCTCTTCCGGGGTGGCCTACGAAGCCCCCATGTGCACCATTTTTCCCCCGTCATCCACTTCCCCCACCCCAGCCACATCGAGCGCTATAAGGTAGGCTGGACGTGTCACGGGCCACTGTTCTGCCCTGCTGTGGGGTTACAGTCCTTATGGAGTGAGTCTTGAGCTCAGAAAGGGGAAGCCTCTTGCTTCAGGCCACATAGCCAGTTGGAGGCTCAGCCTTCAGGACCCATCCTGAGCAGGGCTTGGGATGGTACCATTCTACCTGGCAGGGAGTTCTTGCTTTGATTTCTGGAGGGCGATAGCAGTATCTACCTGGCATAGTTGTGAGAGACATGTGATTATGTAATTGCAGGCATCATGTATTGAGCACTTATGTGTGCGAAACAGTCTGCATTATCCTCTCCCTGTCAAGCACTTAACCCCATCGTGGCTCAGTAAACACTCAATTAATATTAGCTCCTACTCTTATTGTCCTTGGTCACAATGTACTTCCCAGACTGATCTGTTTCAGCTGTCAACAGTGTTGGGAAGGTTCGTGGAGCAGGAAAGAGCCTTCTCCTTTTATAGAAAGCAATAGGTGGTGTGGGAGGAGCCCTGAACAGGGAGGTGGGAGCCCTGGGTTGAACCCAGTTCTCCTGCTGACTCACTGTGTGACCATGGGCAAGTTCCTGTCCCTGTCTGGGTCACAGTTTCACCATCAGTCCCATTAAGGGGTTAGTACTTTCTGGAAGACCATATCTTCCTGTGAAGGGTCAGTTCTTGCCTTGGAAAGAAGTTTGGGGTTGGGGTAGTGTCTTCAGCACCCGCTTGAACTCCTACTTCTACCCTGCAGAAGGATCTTAAGAGCTGGATCCAGGGGAACCTCACTGCCTGCAGTCGCTCTCTCTTCCTCTTCGATGAGATGGACAAGTTGCCTCCAGGCCTAATGGAGGTCCTGCGACCTTTCCTAGGCTCCTCCTGGGTCGTGTATGGGACCAACTATCGCAAAGCCATCTTCATCTTCATCAGGTGAGGTCCAGCTTTGCAGGGGGCACAGTTGGGGGGACACTTCTTAGAAGTCCCAGCTATCTGTTCTTGGCCTGTGGTCCCACAATAGCAGTACTATTCCCCCTGGGCCCAGTCAGGCCTCCCCAAGGCTTCTGACACTCTTGTTGGTGGCATTGTCATTCTCGGTGGTTGACTTCTCCTTTGATATTCTTAAAGCTAATCTTTCTGATCCTCATCACTTCTTTGAGGAAGCCCTGCTGGGTCAAAAAGTTTTCCATCTTTCTTGGCCAAGAGGACACAGGCCTGAGAAATGAAGGATAAGAGTTCTAGTCCCATTTTCAAGAGTCCTAGCTGTGTTTCCTCAGGCAAATTACTTCATCTCTCTCTGAGCTTCTGTTTACTCTTCTGAACAGCAGAGCCAATATTAATGCCTCTCTATCCAGAGCCCTGGTGGCACAAATGGTTAACCGAAAGTTTGGCAGTTCAAACCCACCCAGCAGCTCCACGGTAGAAAGACCTGGCGATCTGCTCCTATAAAGATTACAGCCTAGATTGAAGAAAACCAAAGACACAAAGGAAAGATCAGTCCAAAGGACTAATGGACCACAACCACCACAGCCTCTAACAGACTGAGTCCAGCACAACTAGATGGTGCCCGGCTACCACCACTGACTGCTCTGACAGAGATCACAATAGAGGGTCCCGGACAGAGCTGGAGAGAAATGTAGAACAAAATTCTAACTCACAGAAAAAGACCAGACTTACTGGCCTGACAGAGACTGCAGAAACCCCAAAAGTATGGCTCCTGGTCACCCTTTTAGCTCAGTAATGAAGTCACTCCTGAGGGTCACCCTTCAGCCGAAGATTAGACAGGCCCATAAAACAAAATGGGACTAAAGGGGCACACCAGCCCAGGGGCAAGGACTAGAAGGCAGGAGGGGACAGGAAAGCTGGTAATAGGGAGCCAAAGGTCGAGAAGGGAGAGTATTGACATGGGGTTGCTAACCAATGTCAAAACAATATGTGTACTAATTATTTAATGAGAAGGTAGTTCTGTAAACCTTCATCTAAAGTTCAGTTTAAAAAATAAACAAACAAAAAAGATTACAGCCTAGAAAATCCTATGGGGCAGTTCTACTCTGTCACATGGGGTCTCTATGAGTTGAAAACAACTTGACAGCACCTAACAACAACAACATCCTTTTAGAGGTTGGGTGAGGAAAAGTCAGCTAAGAGACACAAAAGTATTGTGTAAACTGCAAAGTGCAGGGCATATGTAGGTGGACTACAGGGATCGTGGTTATAGACACAAGATCCAGAGAGGGAAAGTGGTCCTTGTGGAGTGTTTTCAGTGGCTTTGGCTCCTGCCAGCACTGTGCTGGACCCCAGGCTCAGGTTGTGTTTAGACGGCACTGGGCCAAATTCTACACCCTGTTAGTCCCAGTCTCAGCCCGGGTCCCCACATTTTAGCAACACTGGTGGCGAACAGATCAACCAGGTAGTGCTGGAGGCATGGCGCAGCCGCCGGGACCGTGAGGAGATTCGCCTGCAGGAGCTGGAGCCGGCCATCTCCCGGGCTGTCCTGGACAACCCACAGCGTGAGTTCCACCCTGGAGTCCCATCCCAGGGGCAGCGTCAGGCAGGCCTGGGGCTTCACCCCCAGACCCATTTGGCCAGGTCACCAGGGTGGGCCAGGTATCTCCCGAGGTCTGATGTTCTGCCCACTGACCATGTAGTTCAGCACCCAGACTTTGGTGCTCCTTGCTCTGTAACCTTGGGCAAATCATACAGCCTCTCTGAGCCTTACCCCAAAAGGTGGCTGAGAGGGCCAGCATCACACCTGCACTACCCTTTGGAGATGGGGGACCTGGGCTTCTCCCTGTGTGTGACATATAGGACCTTCTCCCCATCCATCCCTTCCTGTAGATGGCTTCTGGCGCTCAGGCATCGTGGAGGAGCACCTCTTGGATGCCGTGGTGCCCTTCCTCCCACTCCAGCGGCACCATGTGCGGCACTGCGTACTCAATGAGCTGGCCCAGCTGGGCCTGGAGCCAAGGGATGAGGTTGTCCAGGCTATGCTGGAAAGCACCACCTTCTTCCCTGAGGACGAGCAGCTCTTCTCCTCCAATGGCTGCAAGACCGTGGCCTCTAGAATCGCCTTCTTCCTCTGACTCAGGGTGGCATCTTTGCTCTCCCCCACCCAGCCAGACCATCTAGGAAAGCCCTGGGGCCTCTGGCAGAAGGACCTTTGTCCCAAGCCTCCTGGAGAGTGGGACCCAAAGCACAGAAGAGTGAAGATAGAGAAGGTGTTGGTTAGGCCATGGCCCGGGGCCAGAGCAGGCCCTGGCTCTTAACTGGTTTGAGAGTGTCTTGGCCTCTACTGCCTTCCGCAGGGAAACCTCTGGTCACCCCAGGACCTCATTGAGCCTTGACCCCCCACCTCTAGCCTGAGCCTTCTTAAAATGTGAATTGTAACTCAGGGACTGTGGCATGTGGCTACACCCTCCCTCCTGAGTTTATTTACCCTTAGCCCTTGCACTGGCCTCGTACCCACCCACACTCTTTGTCCCAGTATCATGGAGCCAGGCTGGGACTTCTTAGTCCCCATGGGTAAAGGGACTCAAGCTGCTACTTAAGCCTGTTTTTTAAAGTTTTTAATTTTGTAAAAGAAGAGAACAAGTAAAATAAACTTAGCCGTGGAACCAGACGAATGTTGGCTGAAGTTTCTAACTGCTCTGGGAGGAGCCAGCTTTGCTGAGTGGGTAGGGTACCAGTGTGTAGAGGTAGAATCTCTCTCTTCCCCAGCAAGTAGTGTGGGGCTCAGTGGCCCCTTCAGGGAGCAATATTCCTGCTGGGGCTGGGGCTCTGGCTCAGGCCCTGGGTGGCCTCAGTTTTGCTGGGACTACAGCTCAGATCCCAGGTGTACTCAGTCTTGCTGAGATTCGGACTTGTTCCCCAGATGGAATCACTGTTGCTAGGACTTTGGCTTGGTCCCTGGCTCCAGCTCTGGGCAGATTGAACCTTGTGGCGACTTTGGCTTGGGCTGTGCATGGCCTTAGTTTTACTGGGGCTCTGGCTTGTGCCTTGGGCAGCCTTGGTCTTGCTGGGTCTTGAGCTTGGTTCCCAGCTCCAGCCTTGGGCACCCTTAGTCTTGCTGAGTCTCTGGCTCTGGCCCTGGGCAGCTTCAGCCTTGATAGGCTTCTGACTTGGGTCACAGAAAATCTTCGTCTTGCTGGGACTTGGGCTCGATTCCTGGGCAGTATCGTCCTTGCTGGACCTCTGTTTCCCGCCCTGGGTAACATTTGTTTTGCTGGGGCTCAGACTTAGGTCACTGAAATCCTTAGTCTTGCTGGAACTTTGATTCAGTCCCCAGGTGTGGCCATGGGTGGGGAACTTGCTGGGTCTCCAGCTCCGGCCTTGGGCAGTCTTGGCCTTCCTGAGCTTCCACCTTGGTCCCTGGGTGTCCTTGGACTTGCTGGGTCTGTGACTTGGGTCCTGGGTATCCTCGGTCTTGCTGGGCCTCTGCCCTGGGCCGTGGGTTTCCTTGGTCTTGCTGGGCTTCTGCCTTGGGCCCTGGGTGTCCTCGGTCTTGCTGTGTCTCTGCCTTGGGTCCTGAGTCCCTTCAGTCTTGCTGGGCATCTGCCTTGGACCCTGGGAGTCTTCAGTCTTGCCGAGGCTCCAGCGCGGCCCTAGGGCAGCCTTGGTTTTGCTGGGGCTCTGGCTCAGACTTTTGTCCTCCACATTTGTCCAAGAGTCTGAGGATTGAGTCTTCAGCTGTGAGGAGTCAGAGAATGTCACAGCAGTGGCCGAAGTGCTCCTATACTCCTGGCAGATAGTGGACATCTCTGTCTCTGAGGTGGATGTGGCTATGACTGGGGAGGATGTGCCAGGAGCACCTGTCAGGCCTCTTCCAGATTCCATGGCCTGCGCTGCTTCCCCTGGACAGCTCCCGGAAAAGGGGGCTTCCAGGCCTCATCCTTGCCTACCCCCTCCCCCGAGGCTTTGCATGACCAAAGGGGAAGGCCTATCAGAATACATCAGCCTGGCCCTCCCTGGGCAAACCGAGCCTGCAGGTGGGCTAGGGTTATAAGATAAGGGGGAGCTACCCGAGGGACCCAGGCCCCACCTGCCCAGTGCCTGCCCTCCACTTTGCCCTCTGTGCTCCAGCCACAACCAACAGCCCACAGGCTCTGGGCTCCCTGCCCACCCCTTCCCACACCTGGCTAACCCCTACGCTTCCTTCAGGTCCTAGAAGCCCTCTTTGACCCCTGCAAAAGGAGGTTCGTGCACTCCCAGCTCTGGACTGCCTTCTCACTGTATGTCTGAGCTGTGGTGTGGTTGTCCTTTTACCTGAGTGCCTCCCTCCCTTTAGGACCAAGAGCTCCTCCAAGGTAAGGCCTGTGCCATTCATCCCTGTAGCCAGTGACTGGCACAGGCCTGGCCGGCAGCACTCACTACATCAGTGGAATTGCACTGCATGGAAGGAAGGAGGCTAGGGCACTGCCATTTTTGTCTCTACCATGGACTGCTCACATCAGCCCTTGGAACTATGGAGCAACATTCCTGAGTTCTACATGTTTGTCCCCTCCCGGCTGGTGCCCGGCAGAATCGAGGGTGAAAGCCCCTTGAACAGCACAGGTTTGTGGGCTTGTTTCAGGGACAGGCCTGAGGGGAATAAGGGTGGAGCCAGTAGCCTCTGTGAAATCCTTCGTAGGGGGGCTTGGCATCCCAGGCTCTGTGCTGGGCACCACCTCACTGAGTCCTCACCACAACCCCTACAGAGCTGGGATTATTACTCACTTGCCCAAGGTCTCAAGGCTGTAAGCAGCGGAGCCCAAATTCACACCCAGACCAGAGTCTCTGACCCCTGATCTTTCCCTGCTCTGCTGCTTTGGCTTACTCAGACCTGGGAGAAACACTGGGGACTTACAGCCCAAGATGGAGCCTGAGGAGGTCTGGTCAATGTAGCTGCTGGACAGGGATGTCCCCTTGTCAGGGGGCTGCTCAGGTTCCTCCTCCTGCGACAGGAGACAGGCTGGGTAGTCGCACGCACTGGGAGATCCCTGGACCAGCGGTCACAGCTCTGGAAGGCCAGCAGGCCCTGCGACCCTTTAGTAGTCATTCCTCAAGCTTAGTGCTCCTCAAGGGTTAGGGTTGGATGGGGCCATGGAGAGGTGAAGACCACATAGGAAAGGAGTGGCCAGGCAAAACAGGAACGGTTCAAGGGGCTGATTGGACCTCAGTTTCCCTATCTGCAGAATGAAAATTAGAGTCTCAACCCGTTCACTAAATGTGGGCAGGCTTATGTATACTGTAAAATGCTGTGTCCTGGTGAATGGTTAGGAGAAATTGGAGAGTTTCTACATGCTTTACGTGCCTTTTCCCATTTTATCCAACACATCTGGGAGAGAACAATTGCCATTTCACAGATCAGGAAACCAAGGCTCTGAGCGCTTAAGCAACTTGCCCAAGGCCACTCGGCTAAGAAGTAGAGAAGCTGGGATTTGAATCCAGGTCTGCTGGACTCCACAGTCACTCTTGGCTGCTCGTCTCCTTGGCCTAGTCTTATGCGTGGGACAGTGAGGGATGCCCAAGAGCTAGAGGGGCGGGTGGACTGAGCTGCTGAGTGCTAGGACACCAGGTGTCTGCTTCATGTTGAGCCCTGTCCTCTGGATTCTGCATGCTTCCCTTCAATATCTCCCTGAGTGAGGGGGCCAACAATGATTTCAAGGGGCACAGAGATGAAAGATTTATAGTTGAGTGTCTATTCTAATGTGAGCTAGGAAAAGGTACAGCTAGCATATTCCATTTACTTCAGTTATGAAAAGTGTTCTTTAACATAAATTTACTAGCTGTCCTTAGCAGTAGAGTGGATAGATAAATCGTGGGGTAATCACACAATGGAATATTGTACAGCAATGAGAATGAGCAATCGGCTGCTACTCATAACCACGAACATAATGTTTGGTGGAGCAGCCAGAGACAAGAGGGCACACTGTATTTGTCCATTTATGTGAGGATCAGGCAAAACTCGTGTGTGTAGTTAGTAATCAGGGCAGTGATTAGCCTTGTGGGGTAGGGCAGGGTTGGGGGAGAGGTCTAAAAGGTGGCATGAGGGGGTTCTTGGGATCTAGGAATGTGCCCTTTCTTGATCTGGATAAAGGTGCCTTGCTATATTCAGTTTGTGAAACTTCATCAGGCTGTGCACTTAGAATTTATGCACTTTTCTGATTTATGTTACATTCAACAAAAAGTTTTTAGAAATGAATTTAAGAAGAAAATTCTGGCACAAGTGGCCAGTGCAGACAACAGAACATGTGAAGGTAAGCGTGAGCAAAGTGTGGGAAGGCCTTTCTCTGCAAGGTGTCCACCTCCTCATGCACCCTCCCCCAGGGGCACCCCTTGATGTTCCCATCCCCATCTCACAGCAAGATGTCCCCAGCCCGAGTCACACATCTGAGAGGGGGCAGAGCTGGGCCTGGAAGCCAGCCTGTACCAGGCCGGCATCCCTCAGCCCTCGGCCTGAGTGCACTATGCCCTGGACCTCAAGGGCATGTGGCCCACTCACCTTTTCCTTCTCCTCCTCCGGGGCCTCAGCTTCTTCCTCTGGGCCCTCCTGCAGGTCCTGGTGGGTGGCCTGCAGCTCTTCGGAGTAAGGCTGCTCCACCTTCCACTCACGATGCAGGGCACGGGCCTTCTGGCGCTCTAATTCCCGCTCCCTGAGCAATCTGCCAAGCGATGGCCCGGAGTGCTGGGTCAGTCTCTCTGACTCATTGTGCCATCCCAAGGGAGTGGACAGTGGCCCAAAGAAGCAGTGGGGCCAGAGGAGCCTTAGGGCTCAGCTGGTTCCCACCCCTGGCCTATGGCCCCTGCCCAGGGAGCTTACCCCACAATGCCTTTTGGGATGCTGGACTGTGGACTGCTCTCCACTGCCCGCTCCAGCTGCAGCTTGGCCAGGCGGGCCACATGGCTGCTAAGCACATCGTCCACCGACATGCCCGGGAAGAGGTTGGTCATCAGCGGGAGCAGCTGTCAGGAAAGGGGGTGACCCAGAGCCAGGTATGGGCAGAGGGCAGCTGGTGTGGTACTGCCCCACCCTCCCAGATTCCTAGTTGGCCCTTCTTAGGGCCAAAGAGGGAAGGGTTTTGCAAATTGTTTTTAAAGGACTGAACCCTCTTGCCCCAGAAGTAGCAGGAGACCATGGGAAAGGAACTATTCCAGGAGGGAGGCTTGAGGGTGAGTCCAACCTCAGGTTCTGAAGCCAGACAGATGACGGTTTGACTTCTAAACTGTGGGACCTGGGGCAAGGGAGCTGACTTCTCTGAGCCTTGCTTTCCTCATCTGTAAATTGCAGGTGATAATAAATAGTATTGCCTGTCCTTTGGATGGTGAGGAGGGTTTAACAGGGTGATACAAGTTGAAGTGGTTAGAACAGTGTCTGGCACACAGTAACGGTTCAACTGTTATTATAATAATAAGACCAGATTTCTTTTAGGGACAGGGTGTATCTTTAGGTGGCCAGGAGTATAGATTCTGGAGCCCACCCTCCTGGCCCTGCAGGAACCCACCTGTGGTTGTTTAGGTTCAAGAAGTAGGACAGTGGCAACATCCTGGCGGGCCCCAAAAAAGTTTTGCAGTAGCTGTCGGCTCTTGGCCCGCTGCAGGTAGTACCGGGCCTTCTGGGGGTTGTGCTGGATGGCCACTGAGAAGTGGTTCTCCGCCTTGTGGAACTGCCTGCAGAACACAGCGGGCCCCAGGTTGCCGTGAGCTGGCCCACCTGAGTGGGGGGCAGTGTTGGACCCCCGGGAGTTTTGGAGAAAATCACGCTGGTCCCTGTTCCCCCTTCTCCACCATGCCTACTGCTGGCCTTCCATGAGCTATGCTCTTGATGGACCCAGAACTTAAATGCTAGAATGAAACCACAACATGTGTGAATATTTTTATGATCTTGGGGTTGGGAAGGCCTTTCTGAGAATGTCATAAACCCAGCAACTAAAAATGAAAAAAATTAATAATTTGACTACTCAACAGTCAAATTCCAAGTTATAGACTAGCAAAAACACCCCAAAGAAAAGCAATAAATAGGGAAAATATATTTTGCATAGATAGCAGACAACAGGCTAATTTTCCTAGCCTACAAAAAATTATTATAACCATTTTTTTTTTAAATGAGCAACTCAATAGCAAAATGAGCAAAAGATTTGGGTAGGCCATAAAGCAAAACCAAACCCATTGCCCTCGAGTCTGACTCGTAGCAACACTATAGGACAGGATGGAACTGCCCCATAGGGTTTCCAAGGCTGTAATCTTTATAGAAGCAGACTGCCACATCTTTCTCCCACAGAGCAGCTTGTGAGTTGGAACTGCCAACCTTTTGGTTAGCAGCTGAGCACTTAACCACTATGCCACCAGGGCTGCTTGCGTAGGCCATAGTGGGCACTAAAGCACATGGAAGATGCTGGGCTATGCTAACAATTTATTCATTATTTATTTTTTACTGTGCATTGGGTGAAAGTTTACAGAGCAAATTAGTTTCTCATTTGATAGTTTGTACATAAAGTGTCCCATGACATTGGTTTCATTCCCTATAATGTGTCAGCACTCCACCAATTTCCGCCCTAGGGTCCCCAATTCCTTTCATCCTGATTTTCTACCCCTTTATGCCTTCTCATCTTTGCTTTTGGGCAAATGTTGCCCTTTTCACGTGCTAACAATTTAAACATGTAAATTAAATCAGCCAAGAGAGCATTTTTTGGTCTATTAGGTTAGCAGAGTTGAAAAATAGTCATCACACCCCATGCTGGGGAGGTTTGGTGTTCCGTGTGTTTCTATAATGGTCTCAAATCCCATAAGGTATAAGTCACTGTTATGCTTTCAAAATACAAATGTATAAACACTCATAATATGAACTTAGAATGTCTACACTTACGAGGCTCACATTAATTATACATCATTAGAAACCTATAAGTTCTAAGAAAGTTACTTAGAAAATTTCTGGACTGAGACATAGAAGCATGTGATGTATGTAAAGAATGTAAACAACCTGTAAGTTCACTTTGACCCAGCATGCTGTGACACAGGAAAACATAACAGAAATCTAAACAACCTCTTTAATCTCTACCCTTGAAGAGAAGATGTGTCATTTGGTTACTCTCTAACCCTGGAGAAAAGACAGACTAGTCTCTGACGTCTCACTGGCTCTTGTTGGGTGCAGTCAAGGTGACAGATTCACATATGAACCTTAAATTTCTGCTCACTTACTGAGAGAAGGAAGAGACAGAACTGAGATTCTGTCCGCAGCTGCTGACCTTGGACCCTATCTGTCTACAAGGGACTTCCACCAAGTTCAAGCCGTGGTTAAGCCTTCCTCCTGAGACCTCTGGTTAAAGGTAAAAGCTTGAAGTCTAAAGATTGGAACTCTAACCATTGAACTAATACTGTAATTGTTAATACTGATTCTCTGGTTCTAAACGAACGTTGTGAGATCTTACTTGCACGGCTTGCCATGACTACCTTGCAACAAACTAAATGAGTTTTGCGTGTCAAACCCGAGTATCTCTCTACTAATTTCCTAAGATTTCTAACATCCTGTACAACATTTGGGGAAGTTGAGGCTCTCCTCTCCTGAAGGAAGTTTATATGGGTTCACTTTTTTTGGAGAACAATTTGATATTATCTATTAAATTGGTAACATTCACTAACCCAACAATTTTACTTCCAGCCATCTAACCTACAGCATAATGCATAAGAATGCATGTCCTGGATGCCCATTACAGCATTATTTGCAATAAAAAAGTGGAAACAGCCCAAATATTCATCAGTAGATAATTGTCCAAAGAAATCAATTGTGGTACATCCATAGAATGCAAACAATAAGAGAATGAGGCAGTCCTACGTGCAATGCCCTGGAAAGTTCAGTAAAGAACAGTAGATCATGATCCCACTTTTGTAAAATGAGAGTAATTGTTAACGTGTGCATAGAGAAAAGTTTGGAGGAATCTTTACCGAACTTATGTTGATGGGGGTTGGAGGCAGGTATAAGAAGAAACTTTCACGTTCCAAGTTTTATATTACCGAATCCTTACCTTTTTATAAAAAGCATGCATTACTATAATAATCGGGAAAAAAATGAAAGATTTTTACCGAACTTGGCAAATAAAATCGATATTTAGGACACATAACCGGGAGAGCAAAAGCCTCTTGGCCCAGGGACCCCAGCAGAAGTCTTCATGCCAGGCCCCGCCCCCCCAGCCCCATCCCTTCCAGTCTCCGCTCTCCTTCCAGCCCTCCCCCCCTTCCAGCTCCGCCCACTTCAGGGACTGGGTCGGGGGCCCGGGGGTGGAGGAGTAGAGGACCCCTCCGCACCTGCGCCTCTGCTCGCAGAAGCCCATCTTCTCCTGCAGCAGGCTCATGCGTAGGTTGGCGCCCTGGTCCTTCGGGCTTAGCGCCAGCGCCTGCTGATAGTCCGCCTCAGCAAAGGCCAGGTTGCCCAGCTGGAAGAAGCAATCTGGAGCCCAAGGGCAGGGAGTGAGTCGGCCCCCAACTCCCAGTGCCCAGGAACCTCAGCCCACTCCCAGGGAGGGTGGTGCAGAGTCTGAAACTGGTGGCTGATAACACCATGGGCAGTCGCAGGCCCCTCAAAAAGTTTTCTGTGCATTTGGGCACCTTTCCCTAGCTGTCCAATTCTGAGCATTTTGAGGCGCAGTGGTTAAGAGCTTGGCTGCTAACCAAAAGGTCGGCAGTTCCAATCCACCAGCTGATCCTCAGAAACTATGGGGCAGTTCTACTCTGTCCTATACAGTCGCTATGAGTTGGAATCAACTCGACAGGTTTGGATTTCTTTTGGTGACCAGTTTGTCTATGGCAATGTTTCCCAAAGTGTGCCCCTGGGACACTGAGCCTATTAAGTGTTCCCTCTTTTCCTTTCTTCTTCCTCCTTCCTTCCTTTCTTCCTTCCAGCTTTTGACGACACTCAGAGTGGTGGGGCACAGCTGGGAGCCCAAGCCCAACCCCAAGGATCTCAGCTCTTAGTTGGGGAGATAAACATTAAAGCAATAATCACCCCAAAGCCCCATGATTGCAACTGGGTAAGTGCACCAAAGGAAAATGACAAGGTGTGTGCTTTAGGTCAGGAGGCAGGAGGCAGCAGGGAGGACTTCCACAGGGAAGTGTGTGCTGGAACCAGGATAGGAATGAGCCAGGGGTGTGTGTGCATGTGGTGGAGGGGGAGGAGTCCTGAGCAGGAGTGACAGTGTGAGTGTATGAAGGGCACAGGCAACGGGTCAGCGCCGCTGAGCAGGGAGGAAGAGAGAGAGGGGAACAAGGTGAGGTTGTAGAGGGAGGGAGAAGGGGGAGGAGGGCATCCCAGAGAGAGGCACAGCCTTGGCCAAGGCATGGAGGATGGAATGGCCGGGATTTTGCAAGCTCATGAAACGGAGCAGTGGGAGATGAGGACAGAGGAATAGTTAGAGCCAGGGGGCCTCAAATGCCAAGCCTGGGCCTTAGCGAAGGGCGCTTACCTGGCCCCGGGCCCAGCCTCAACTCACCACCACGGTTGATGTAGAGGCCTTTCTCCTGCTGCTCGTCCTTGAGGACCTTGTTCAGCAGCAGCACGCTCTCCTGGTAGGCCCCCTGCATGTAGCAGTGCACAGCAAAGTCGTTGTAGGCCAGCAGCAGCTGACGCTGCATCTGCCGTACCATGTCCTCCTGGTTCTCAGGCGCCATGTCCAGTGCCTTCAGGAAGTCCCCTATAGCGCTATCAAACTCCCGGAGCCGTCGGTACATGGTGCCCCTATCGGGGAGGGCATGGTGGGCAGGAGGAGGGACATCAAGGCCAAAGGCACTCCACCAACTGGCTAAGTGGCCGAGCAAGTCGCTGCCTGCTTGGGCTCACTTTCTCCTTCTGACCCATGGAGGTGGTGAGGGTGCCTGCCTCATGCACTAGGTTTGGCCTGGGTGGGTGGCCCTGGCTTGGTGCTCAGATAACCTGCTATCACTGGTAATTTTATGTTTCTCCAAGATAGCCTCCCTCTTTCTTTGTGGGAACCATATGTGTGCTTGCCTCTATGCTAAGACCTTGATATACATGAGCAAATGTTTTTACCCCCACTGTTTAGATGAGAAAACCCAGGTTCAAAGACGTTAAATTGCCCCGATCACACAGTAAGACCCTGGAAGGGTCGGAATTCAAGCCCAAGCCTTGCCACTGAGCTGGACTGATCCTCCTGGGGGCTCAGCAGGCCTGGGTTTCTAGACTCCTGGTTAACTGGAAGGCTGCTGCCTGCTCCTCCTCCAAGGACAGTAGCAAAGACCACCTCCCACAATGCCTCCACCCCTGTGTCAGGTAGCATGGGATTATGAGAGGCCAGATGGGGAAACTGAAGACTGAGGTCAGGCGCTCTCCTGAAACCACAGAGCAAGTCTGTGGCAGGGCAGGGCCTGGAACCTGAGACCAGTACTTCCCCACCCAGTACCGGAAGAGGAAGAGGCTGGGGTCCAGAGGGCTGTTCTCGATGGCGCAGTTAATGCACTGAACCGCATGCTGCATGTCGCCCTGCACAGCAAACATCCCCGCATCTTGGCGTGCCTGCTGGGCCTGGTTCACCATCGTCTTCAGCAGTGCCTTGGCCTGTGGGTGCTTGGGCTCCAGCAGCAAGCTGTTGTGCAGGTCCTGGTAGCAGAGTTTGGGCTATGGGGATGAGGGTGGGGGGTGGGGTGGCATCAGGGGTGCAGGCCTAATGGGCGAGGGGGGAAAGATCTGGATCCGGGCTGCAGGTGCCTCTCTCTGGGCAGGCTGGCACCATACCACCGCTCCTCAGTGCCCCCACACCACTGTTCCACCTTTTCTGCCTCTTGAAGGAGGCAAGGGAGCATTGTGGGAAAATCCGACCCCATCTGCCGGCCCCTTCCCAGATGTGACCTCAGGTGAGCCAGGTCCCTGCTCAGCCTTGGTAGTTTCTGCTGCAGGATGGGGTTGCAGATGCCACCTCCTCAGAGGATTCTGTGAGGCTTACACGAAATGGGAGTATGTGGCCTCCTGACTAGATGGCTGTATCCTCACTATCCTCCCCACTCACTCTTCCCCTCACCCCTGACCTTTAAGCACAAGACAACTCAGACCAAGAACAGACCCAGAAAACATCCCCAGGCAAATGCCTTCTTCTGGAGCGCAGGTCAGTCAGTCAGTCAACAAACAGTTTTAGGAACTACCCTGTGTCCTGTAGGGTTATTGGATGGAGGGCGAGGAGAACAAAGAGTGTGGCCATGAGGTGTGAGTGGAAATCAGGACAGGGAGAGCCTGAGAGCTGGGCTTTGGAGTAGGCACACTTGGGTTCAAGGCCAGCACCACTGTGAACTGGCTGTGTGAGCTTAGGTAAATCATCCAACCCCGCTGGGCCTGTTTCTTCATCTGTGAAGAGAACAGTGGGTCATATCTACCTCAGAGGGCTACCGCGAGCCTTCAAGATAAACGTGGTAAAATGCTTAGGACACATAGTAGGCGCTCACAGGGGACAGCTAAGATCACAACCCAAAATCCGTTGCCGTCGTGTCAATTCCGACTCATAGTGACCGTACAGGACAGAGTAGAACTGCCCCATACGGTTTCCAAGGCTGTAAATCTTTATGGAACCAGGCTGCCACATCTTTCTCCCGCAGAGCGGCTGGTAGATTCAAACCACCAACCTTTCTGTTAGCAGCCAAGTGCTTAACCATTGTGCCACCAGGGCTTCTTGAAGTCACAACAGTCAACAATAATTATCAACAATTACTAGTCTCATACCTTTGAAGGAGACGCCCTTTGAGTCACTTGCGGGACACAGAAGCCCAGCCCCTCAGCATCTGGGTGGACCTCACCCCTGAGGCCACTCCTGAAGGGCAGTGGACCCCTCCCTCTGGAATTACAGGCTCAAGTCTCCAACCACCCACAGGATGCCCCCACCTGGTGAACTGAGGCAAACTCTGCCCTACTTTGTCCACACCTGTTCCTCCCCCTCCTGAAAGTTGGGTGTTGTTGTTGAGTGGTGTTCTCAATGCCTCCCTCTCGCTCACACCCACACCCAGTCATCTCTGGTCCTGACTTCTAAAGGACTGTGGACCTTGATCCCTTGTGGCCATCCTCCAGCCCTCCCCACCAGACCCCTCCTCTCCCACTGGACTTCTCCCACTGCCCAGCCTCCTCCCAGGCTCCCAGCTTCCTGTCTTGCCCTGTCCAACCCACACAATCCACGGCAGCTGAGGGGTCTTTCTAAAGCTCCCTACACTGAAGAGCACTCTTTCAAGGCTCCCACTGCCCCTGGGGCTCTTCGAACCTCTCAGGTGAGCTGATGTCCTCTCACATCTGCAGTCTCCTTCCTGCCTGCGCTCCCCGCCTCCTCCCCTGTGGTGTCAAGTCTCCCTGGCCCCCAGGTCCTTTCCTATACTCTCAGTCCCCATGCACAGCCCAGGCCTGGGCAGTGGAGGGTGCTTAGGAAATGTTTACTGAGGCGAGTAAGGAAGGGAGGGGAGGAGGAAGGAGGAGAAAAGGAATGAGAGGAGAGGAGGAAGGGGAGCAGGATGGGCTGCCTCATCTAATAGTTCTCTGGGTATGTCCCACATGGTGACCCCATATGGTGACACAATTGTGCTTCAATCATTCTTTGTGTAATTGTCTGCCCAGGGACACCTCCCCTGGACTGTGAACTGCTCGAGGGCCGGGATGCACCTGTCTCTCACCTTGTGGTTTCCACAGGGCCCGGCACAGGCCTAACACAGAACCAGGGCTGAGTAAAGCTGGAGTAATTGCCCGACTGGACACCAAATGGTCAGGACCGGCTGGGGGCCTCTGCCCAGGGGTGGCAGTGCCCCATTGCTCTGTGGGGATGTGACCTCTGTGCTGATGGATGGCCACGCAGCCTCCTGTAATCTCAGAGGGTGCTGGGGGCTCCCAGGCTAGGGTGAAGGCCTCACGCTGGCCTGCCCTCCCAGAGCTACCTTCTGGAAGAAGTTGTAGAGCCTGGCCCGGAGGATGTAGACATCGGCATTGGTCGTGTCATGCTTCAGCTCCTTGGTGACAAGTGTGAGGCAGTCACGATGCCGTTTGAGGGCCAGGAGACAGGCCATACTGAGGGTAGAGGGTAGAGTGTCCACTCTGTCTGCCCGGGGAAGGGGAGGCAGGAAGGGTTAGCTGGGAGAATGAGGGCCAGCAGGGACACAGCTGGGCACTCACCATCGGTAGCGGAAGCAGGGTTTCTGGGGCTGGAGCTCAGAGGCTTGGGAGAAGACGTTCAGGGCATCCTGGTAGGCACATTGCTCAAACAGGCACTGGCCCTGGGGACACAGTCACTTCTGCTTGTGACCCCAGCCCAGCTACAACCACCAGTTGTGGGACAACATTGTGGAGGAAGGGGAGAGAGGCAAGGGACAGGGATAGAGACTTAGACCTGGGAAGAGACTTCGAGGGACACAGACAAAGTTGGAGAGAGATACAGAGCTGGGGAGAGACAGCAAGAGACAGTGAGTAATACACAGTTGATGGGAGACAGACAGCAATACAGAGACACACAGAGAAAAAGAGGAAAAATGGGAGATGAGACGAGAATGGTAGAGCCAACAGTAGTAGGTTCCAGCTTAGACTGATGCTCTCGGCTGCCGAGCGCTGTGCTGAGAAGCTTGTACTCGCTATCTCACTGCTATGAGCTATTATGCCCATTTAAAATGAAGGATCTGAGGCTCAGAGAGGTGAAGAGACTTCTTCAAGGTCACACAGGAAGTAGCAGTGCAGGACTCAGGGCCCCCAATGGACAGATTAAGCAAGTGGTTAGGGCCCCCTTCTGGACTTTTTTTTTTAAGAATTGGATAGCTGACTTTTTTTAAAAGACATCAAATTTGTCAAAATGAGAAAAAAACCAAGATTTTGTTGGTGTTTTATGGTGTAATATTGTTTTTATTTTTAATCGTAAATTGGGAGCGCTGTTAACTTTTTTAGTCCTTGGGGCCTCTAGACTCTAGATCTGTGCTGTCCAATACGACAGGCACCAGCTCCATATGGCTATATAAATTTGCATCTAATCTAATTAAAATTAAACATAATTTAAAATGCAGTTCCTCAGTCACACTCGCCATGTTTCAAGGGCTCACTAGTTCTATGTGGCTAGTGGTTACCATAAGGAGCCCTGGTGGCGCAATGGTTAAGTGCTCAGCTGCTAACCAAAAGGTCAGAGGTTCGAACCCACCAGCTGCTCCATGGGAGAGAACAACCTAGAGATCTCCTCCCGTAAAGATTATAGCCTAGGAAACCCTATGGGGCAGTTCTATTCTGTCCTATAGGGTTGCTATGAGTTGGAATCAACTTGATGGAACACAAGAACAACAACAGTGACTACCATATGGGACAGTGCCGAGTAGATAATTTCCATCGTCACAGAAAGTTCTGTTGCACAATGCTGCAAGACTCTATCCAGCCCTGCTGGGAAACCAACTCAGGAGGTGGGAGAGGTGGTGAGAGAGTTCAGCTGGTGGGACGCGGACACAGGGGCGAAGAGGTCCCCACAGAGACAGAGCTGGTTCCAGGCGCAAGGGACCCCCCGCCACACACACAACTAGAGGGAGAGCCACGAGGCCCAGGGGTGAGGTGGAGACCTCAAATGGGCCTGGGGCAGCTCCAGGCACCTGCAGGTAAAGCACCAAGGTGAGCCGCTCCTGGTACTTGGTGTTCTCTGGCTCGAAGGAATAAGCCCTTCGCAAGTTCTGGGCAGCTGAGGAGAAGTCGCAGAGCTGGATGTAGGCCTCGGCCCGCAAGGCATAGAAGTCTACCTGAGGACGATAGGACCCAGGCTGCTGTCCCCTCCCCACGACCCACCCCTCAAGGGAGAGGGAGGAATCTATCTCCCTGAGCCCTGACACCCAGTTACTGTCAGGGACTTGGTGGCCCTGAGAGGAGTAGCATGGGCAGGTGCTACAGTGAGGGGAAGTGTGTGCCAGCACCTGCCCGTGCCCATCAGGCCCTCTCCCTCACCAGCTTGGGATCCAGGTGGAGGGCACGGGAGAAGAACAGCACGGCCATCTCCCAGTCTTCTTGCTCTAAGCACGTCTGGCCTTGGAAGTAGCTGCCAGGGAAGGGGAATACAGGCAGAGGGGCTGGCTTTAACTCTGGAAGAACCCAGGGCATATGGGGACGGGGGTTTTGGGTGGAGAGTCAGGGGGGATAGACAGAGACCCAGGGAGGGCAGGCTGGCATTCTTGGAGGTCACCCAAGCTGGCAGCCTTTTATCAGCTGAGGTGGGAGAGCCCCATTACATAGTTGATTTCACTGAGGCCCAGAGAGGGAGAGTAACTGGCCCAAGACTGCACAGCAGGTCAATGGCTGTGCAGGGCAGGAACCTGGACCCTTGGGCAAGGTAGTCACTCACTACTGCCTGACTTTGAGGGGCACCGTTATCCCCTTGGGCTTTGGTTTGGGTTCATCGAAGTCCTGGAACACTTGGCTGGTCCCAAAGATCTGCTTCAGGGTCCCTTTTGGGACTGAAATCACCCGTGGCTTTAAGATGCGCTGTGAGGGATCCTCGTCAAGCTCCAGAGCATCCTAAAGCCAAGGGACAGTGAGGCTGGAGCAGGCCTCAGAGACAACCAGATCCCCACCCCACTCACACACTCTCCCCAGGTATTTTACGGGGGAGAGAGTGGAGACTGAGACTAGGTAGGAGATGCCATCTGGGATCCGGTAGCATCATTCCCCTTAGGGATGATCCAGCCTATCTCTCTCTTCACACAACCCAGGCAAGCCTCTTTAGTCCTGCTTCTGTCTCTGTCCCTTTCCTACTGCCAGGGTCGGGGCCCTCCTGCTCACAGTAACCCTCTGCTCTCCTGATCCTCCTCAGCTCCCACCTCCAGCTGCTGACACTCCAGCTCAGGCCCATCCCAAGCCACAGGCCTCCGGGTCCTGCAGAACCTCACCCCTAGCAGGCCCAGACTGACCACCTCACCCACTTCTGCCCCAGGCTCTCCCACCTCAGTGAAGACTCGTTCCCTGCCAGCCACCCAAGCCAGAAACCTATGTCCCATCAGTCCTGGAGTCCTGTCTGTTTCACTTCCTAAAATCTCTCAGATCCCTCCTCTTCTCCTGTATAATCTCCTCGTCTGGGCCAATGCCATCTCCTCCAGGATGTCTGCTCCGGCCACCTCTCCTTGTCTCACGTCCCAACTCCTCCATTCTCTGCTCCGCAGCCAGGGACTTTCTAATTTGCACACTGAGGCTGCCTCTACTGTACTTAAAACCTTCCCTGCGGACCCAGTCTTGGTCTCTTCTACTCTGGCCCTCTGGCCTTGCTTTGGCCTTCTCTCAGCCCGCACCTCGCTGGAGTCAGTCATGACTCATGATGTCCCTTCCAGGACCTCGGGGCGCCGCGCCAGCTTCCTCGCGGCCCGCTACGGTAGCGCAGCTCCCACCTCTGATGTTGCTAGGTGCCATCTCCAAGACGCCCACAGGCTCCGCCTATTTGGCCACGCCCCCGGGAATCCAAGAGCTGTCTGAGCCGGAAGAAGGTTAGAAAACTTTTATTAGAAAGGCTGAGGCCTAAAGAGGGGAAAAGGACTTGCCCGGTTTCCACACAGAGGCAGGGCCACAATGGGGGCCAGGACAAGGCTCCCGCCTCCCACGCTGGAGGTCAAACAAGGGCTCTGCGAATCTCACAACAAACCGCACAGGGCCGCGGTAACGGAGTGCGCAGGGGGGCCCGGACACGCCACCCGCCCAGCCGCTTCCGCCCCTCAGAAGCATGGCGGCCGCCTAGCTTGCCCCGGATTGGGCACCGGCGGCCGCCTCTGGACAGGTGGTGACGGCGATTGGCCGTGGGCTGGCTGACGTCAGAGGGCGGGGTCCAGTCCGTGAATGGGGGCACCATGCCGCCGCCCGGCCTCTTGGGCTCTGGGCTGTGGATGAGTAGGGCCATGAGCTGGTGTGTTTTGGAGCCTCGACCCCCGGGGAAGCGGTGGCTGGTGAGTGGAGTCGGGGGTGGTGACGTAGGAACTCCTGGGGCTCCAGTTCTGCCATTGTCTCCCCTACAAAGTCCCCCAAATTCCTTGTCTCAGTTTTTGTTTTTTGAATCTGGAAAATGGGTCCAATACCACCACGGGCTTCAAACTCTTCAGAAACTCTGCTCCTGTATCAGAGCGCCCTGCCAGCCCAGTCCGCGGGGCACCAGTTTCCATTCAGCCTTCTCGAGTCTCCGGGGGGTGCTGGGGCCTCTCTCCTCGCTCCCCTTCCCCATCCCAGCCCTTGCTCTCAGTTTCCCCTCCTCTGCCTTGGGTCCCAGCGAGAGCTGTGAGATCGGCGGTGGGGAGAGTTAACAGTCCTCAGTTCCCCCGGTGCCGCCTGCAGGTGGCCGGCCTGGGGAACCCCGGACTGCCTGGCACGCGGCACAGCGTGGGCATAGCAGTGCTGGGGCAGCTGGCGCGGCGGCTGGGTGTGGCGGAGAGCTGGGCGCGCGACCGGCGTTGCGCCGCCGACCTCGCCCTGGCTCCGCTCGGGGATGCCCAGGTGGTTCTGCTCCGGCCGCGGCGGCTTATGAACGCCAACGGACGCAGCGTGGCCCGAGCCGGTGAGTGAGGTTACCGGGGGTGGGCGAGCCGCCGCGAGGGCTCAGGGGCCAGAGGGGGATCTGGGCTGCCAGACCTCCCTATTGCCCTCCAAGTGTCGCATGGCCTTGGGTACTTGTAGGGGCCTCAGTTTCTTTATATGTGAAGTGGGGTTTATTTCCAGCCCCACTTTATGGGAGCCAAAAGTGGCGACAGGGCCCCTATGACAGATCCTGAAGTAACCAGGGCCACTGTTTCCCTGTGCCAAGCGGAGCTGTTCGGGCTGACTGCCGAGGAGGTCTACCTGGTGCACGATGAGCTGGACAAGCCTCTGGGGAAACTGGCTCTGAAGCTGGGGGGCAGTGCCAGGTGAGGCCCTGAATCAGTCAGGGTGGGGTAGGGACCCTGGCCTGCCAGTTCAGGTGAGAGTAGGGGTGCTGACCTCAGTCTGGGCAGGGGATAGGGGCAGGGAGGGGTGGAAGGGCACTGACCCCCAGGAGGCACTAATTGCCCTTTCCCTATCTCTTGAAGGGGCCACAATGGAGTCCGTTCCTGCATTAGCTGCCTCAACTCCAGCGTGAGTCTGCCCCCACTCTGTCCTGCACTGGGGCTGGTGTGTCAGCTTGGGTCCCCCGACACTCTGAGTTCACCAAAGCTCCCTCTGCCTCTCTGTCTCCCCCACAGGCAATGCCGCGGCTACGGGTGGGCATTGGACGCCCAACACACCCTGACGCGGTACAGGCTCATGTGCTGGGCTGCTTCTCCCCGGCTGAGCAGGAACTGCTGCCTCCACTGCTGGAGCGCGCCACCGACTTGCTCCTAGATCATATCCGTGAGCGAAGCCAGGGGCGACCCATGCTGGGCATCTGATGCCGTGGACATGGCTGCCAGCCTGACTGCAATGCCCGTATACTCAGCCATGTCCACAGAGCTGCCATGCCAACCTGTGGTATCCACTCTTTATATAACTCTTTTCCTCTGGGCTGCTCCCGGCAGCCTATGGAATAAAGGGGGGACTGTGGCCGCAATGGTCCATTTCTGGGGTAAGGGGTTAGTCTTCTCTCACTATCCTACTTAGGATGCAAGCAAACTTCAGGAAGACTGAATTTTTTGAGCCTTTTTGGATAACTGAAGCCGTGGACCTGTAAGATTAAAGATGCAGGCTTGGAAGCTGAGGTCTCCTCTGGGGCTCCCACCCTTCCCCTCCCTGTGAGGGAGGAGATAACAAGGTCCAGCAGGCCCCCTCCCAGGGGACGCCCAAGTATGCCTTCGTGGATTGAGGCCTTGGCACACCTTTCTTCAGCCCATTTTACAGACAGGGGAAATGGAGGCTCAGAGTAGTCCAGCCACATCCCCAAGGTCACACAGCTGCAGTGTGGCAGAGCCCTGATTCACACTCAGGGCTGGCTGCCACCTTGTTGCCCCTGGGGCCCCTGGCACCCTCACCTCAGGGCTGCTGTATGCCCGGAGGGTTCCCACGCGGGTGGTGTGTGAGAGCAGCCTGAGGTCCTGGGGGTTGGGTGGGATGTGGGCCCGGTGTGGCACCAGGCCCAGGTCCCCCGGCTGGTAGGGTGTGATGCCAGACAGCTGCTGCAGCGGAGACCCCATCTTGGGCAGTTGGGTGCTGGGCAGGCTGTAGGGAGGGGGCTGATGTCATCACCTCCATTTCACAGATGAAGAGGCTAAGGCTCAGAGAGGCTTTGGAGAACCAGGCTTCTGGCCTGTGATTGGCTGGGGACAGTCCTTGGACATGTCCCATGGCTGTTTCCCTTTGCCCTGCTCCCCATGACTGCATTCTCCGAGGCTACACAGGGCCACCTGCTCACCTGTCCTTGGGTGGGCCTTGGGGATGGGTCTGCCAGTGGGGACACACAGCCATCTGGGGACTCAGGGCTATGGCTGAGCTGAGCATGGCCAGCAGCTGCTGTAGCATCTCTTTACGCTGCAGCTGGAAAACCACATTGAAGTCCCCATCCTCCTGATCTTCTGAGTGCATCTGCCGGCAGGGTCAGGGGTGAGCCCGTGGAGTCAGGCCCATAGTGGTCCCGACACCCACTCCAGGAAACTGCAACCCCAGTGCCCATTTTCTCAAAGTGCTCCCTGACTGTGGTGTGAGACCCATCCTTTAAATGGGAGGACTGAGGCCCAAGGCCTTCGGGTTCCTGAGAGAAGGAACCCAGCTCTTGTGAGACACTGAAGGGGTCATCCAGAAACAGAAGAGGATGGGCTTGCCAGGGGTCTCTCGGGAAGAAGGGGCCTCTGACCTGGCCCAGCCTCCTCCAAGAGCTCCCAAGCTGTTCTCTCAGTAGCCTCTGCCCTTGGCCAGCCTCCCACTTTCACCACTTCCTGCTCACGTGCAGAATGTCCTGTAGGAAGGAGGTGGCCCGGGTCAGGGTCGTCTCCAGGCTGGCCCGAACCTTCTGCTCTTTGGTTAGCTCCTGCTGCAGCTGCTGTGTCTTGGCCTGCTGCTGCTCCATCTGCAGATTCAGCTGCTCTTTCTGGCTTCTGGGTCCAGGATGGGACTGTCAGCAGCCCTCCTGCCTCCTTGGGCCCTGCCATTTCTCTGCAGCCCACCGGGGCCAACATCCAGCCCCAGGCCTCAGAGTGTCTGACAGATGAGGCTCCTCTTAAGAGGGAAAGTCACTGACCCGTATCATGTGATGAACAAGGGACTGAGCTCAAGCTTGCCCCCCAGCCCCCCCCCCTGGGCCCCACCTCAGTGTCTGGTTGTCCTTCTGCAGTTGCTGGACCTTCTGCTCCAGGTGGCCCAGCAGTCGGCACAGCTTCTCCACCTCCACTGTGCCCTGCTGCTGCTGACGGCACTTCTCGGTCAGCATGAGGATGATCTGCAGGTGAAGCAGGGGTCTTCAGCCAGCCTTGCTTCCCCAGCATCAGACCCAGTCAGAGCTCCTTGCCCTATTGTACAGAGGCCAGCCGAGACCCCAGGAGAGGGAATAACCAGCTGGGGGGCCCAGCACCCCTGCTGGGCAGAGCCTCAAGCTTCCGAGGGGTAGGCTCCACTCCAGCAAGTTATGGGGGCTCTAAAGCAAATGAAGAAAAACCAGAGCTGGGCCCAACATCCTGCAGCCCCACAAGGGGGGCCCCTCCCCTCACTGCTGCCTCTCCCCATTTTTCCAGCCCGAGGTCTACACTGCCAGGCTGTTCCCTTCCCCCAACAGAGCAGGGCCCCTAGGGTCCCCTCCTGCTTTGTGTGCCAAACACCCTGCGACAAGGGCCGGGCAGGCGCACCTTCTGGTGACCTCTGCTGTGCCTGGCCATGACCTTCTGGGTGTCCTCCAGCAGCTCCACCTGTTTGCACAGGTTGCCGTGGGTGCTCTGGAGCTGCTCGTTCTCCTGCAGCAGCTGCACGCCTTGCCGGGACAGCTTGGCCAGCTGCATGGACACGGTGCTGTTCTCCTGGATGGCCCGCTTTGTGGTCTCCCACATCTGGTTACTGGCCACCTTGCGGAACTCACTGGCCACCAGGTTCACACGTTGGATGATCTCCTTCTTCAGTCTGGTCAGGACGGGAGGGAGTAAGGGGGAACCAGGCAGTGTGGGTGCAGGCCCCAGCACCCCTCACCTCCTGTGCAGCCCCAGAGCACCTAGCAGGCAGGGCCTTGGGAGGGCGCGGGGCCACGGGCGGGAGTTGTTTCACTCTAGACCCTTTTGTATCTTTTGAATTTTGAACCATATCAATGTATTATTACCTATTAAATATAATTTAAATCACAAAAAGTGGCGAAACGAAGTCCAGAGGTTCTCCAATGCCAGCGTGAGGCTGGGGAGCTTATTCACTTTTTTCCCACTTCTCCATAAATCACCAGTCACAATTCTGGGGAGCAGTCAGCCAGGTTGGGGAGCCAGTGACCTAATCCAATCCCCCCAGTTAGAAGCCAGGGGAAGCTGAGGCCGGAGGTCTAGGATGTGCTTGGCTGCAGTGATAAAGGCCCCGCAGGGTGCTGGCCCAGCACCTGGCCTGCCCACCTGTCCTTGTCCAGCACGGACTTCTTCTCCAGGTTGTACACGTAGTCCTTGTAGTTGTTTTCCTGCTTCTGCAGCTGGTCCTCCAGTGTCATGAACTTGTCCGTGAGCTCCTCTTTCTGCAGCCGGAACTCCTCCAAGGCTGCCAACTTCCCCACTGCCGCCGCAGGGTACAAGGCCTGGTGATGCCTCTGGAGTCTCTGCCCCTCCCTCTACTTCCTCCAAGTCCTCCCGTCCTCCCTGTGCTTCCTGATCCAGGGGGGCTGGAGCCCTGGCCTGCCCCCATGCCTGTGCCCACTGTTATCTGGAATGCTCCCCTCCACTAATCTTACGGAGACTCGTTCAGGTTCTATCCCCTCCAAGAAGCCTCCCTCAACACTGTGCCCCCCTCACGAAAAGCATATGAACACCTCTGGGCCAGGCATGCATGACATCATTTGAGCTTCACAACAGGCCTTGCAGCTGGATGATATTGGGCAAGACACTTCACCTTTTTGAGGTGTTTCCTCATCTACAAATGGGGTGATAGTATTCCTTGCCTTGTAGGATTGCTGGGACAATTAAGGAAGAGAATGTGTGCAAAGCAGCATGAGCTGTTGTTACTCAAAACTAAGGGTCAGAGAGGAGAAGTACTTGCCCAAAGCCACAGAGATTGTGGTAAGGCTGGGAGTTGAGCCCAAAGAGTCGTGGTGTGTGCCTTCCCACAGGCTGGCCCGCCAGGCCCCCCTCACCAAGGATGATGTTCTCCGTGGTGAGCTGGTCCTTGGTCTCCTGGAACTCGTGGCGCACCTGGGCAAGCTGTGCCTCGAAGGCATCCTTCTCCATCTCCTTGGCCAGCTGCAGGCTTTGGAGCTGCTCATTGAGGTCGGTGATCTCATCTACCCGCTGGTTGAGTGTGCGCTTGAGGAAGGCTACAATCTCCTTTTTATTGTTGGCCAGCTGCTCAAACTCCTGGCGGAACAGCTTCTCCTGCACGGACAGCTCATCCCACTTCCTCTGGTACCTGGGGTGGGTGGGGCACAGGTCCTGGGGTCTGCAATGAGGGGGTGGTCCCCAGGGTGGGGCCAGGCAAGCCAGGCCTCCAGTACAGCTGGGTCCACCCATCCGGACCTTCCCCCCCCGCCCCACACACGCCCCCTCCCTCTTTAAGGGAGCATTCGAGGCTCCTCCCCATCTGAACCCAGCCTCTTCTCCCACCATGCCGCCTGAAACAGCCAACACTTTATGAAGTCCTCACCGTGTGCCAGGTGCTGTGCTAAGCACTTTATGTTCATTACATTACTAGAATGTAAGCTTTTGAGGACAGAGCCTTTGTCTTTTATGCTCACAGCTGTGTCCCCAACACCTAGGATGGTGCCTGGCACATAGTAGGTGCTCAGTATTTTTGCTGAGTCCTCACAACAACTGGTAAGAAGCAGGTATTATGATGCTTATGCCCATTTTACAGACAAGGAAACTGAGGCTCAGAGAGGTGAAGGGAACCCGTACTTAGTAAGTAGCAAAACAAGAACTTGAACCCAAGTCAGTGTGACCCCAAAGCCAAGGCTCTTAACCACAGTGCCAGCTGCCATGGTTGGCCAGCTCTGCACCCTTTCCTAACACTTTAGCACTTCCCATTTGCAAGCCTTTGCACCTGCATTCCCCTCTACTGTGACCTTTCCTTACCCTTTTCCATCAAATGAACCCTGGTGTTGCACATTTGTGGCCCTCTCTTGTATGCCCTCCTCTAGAATGGCCCTATCCCACTGGGATCTGACGTATGTGTGTCCTCCACTTGGCAGACGTGTTCCTCCTCTACCTCTGTGTTCTCGGGGCCGAGGGCTTGGCAGATAGTATGTACCCAGTAACTGTCTGCCAAATGGATTTCCCTCAAATACATTCTATCTGTTCTTTCAACTCGAGGGAAGCTTGTGAAGTTTTAAGAGCATCACATAATCGATTTACTGGTTTTCAGTGGAATCATTGATAGAAGTTATTTGCAAGATGTTTTATAATTTACTTATGGCTACTGCATGCAGAGCACTGTGGAGGTAGGGAGATGAATGAGCTGCTTTGTGGAGTGCAGACCTGGCCTGATACTGTGTGATGAGCCTCAGCTCACTTAGGAAGCAGCCTGGCCTGGGGGAGTCAGGGAGGCCAGTGTTTCAGTCCTGGAGCCTCCTCTTTCTGGGGGTGACTTCCCTTCTCTGCTGAGCCTCAGTCCCACCTGTGCAATGGGGATGACCTCAGGTCCTTTTGTGGGATTGCTATGAGGGTTCTGGGAGCAGAAATGGGATGAGGAATCCATTTTCCCTCAAAATCTCGAAGCCTCCTGATGTTACCTATGGGGAAACTGAGGCTGGGGGTAGGGCGGGTCCTGGGCATCACATGAAAGACCAGTGGCAGAGCCCAGGTCAGAACATAGGCCTAGGGACTCCTGGCCAAGGCTGCACAGCGGCCACCTCTGAGGAGGTTCCTGACCCCCACCAGGACCTGGCACTGCCACAGCAGAACTAGCTTCCCTTCCCTGCCCACCCATCCACCCACCGGGCCAGCCTATCCTCCAGGTCTCGGATCTGGATATGGTAGAACTCCCGTGTCTCCGCGTCGAAAATTGTTTCCATGTTGGCTGTGTTGGGGTCCTTCTTCCCCCCTTTCTTCTTCTTGATCTCGAGCTCCTTGCCCCCCTTGGTTGTCTTCTTTTTGGGAGCCATGGCTGGTAGCAACCACTGCTGGAGGGCCCCTTTAAAAGGCTAGATGGTTGCTAAGGAAGTTGATTCCATACATAGCAACAAGCTGAGGGCGTGAGGCTGGGCTTAAAGGGACCCTGCCCTCTTCCTAGCTGGGCTGTGCACTGGTGACCAGCCTCCCCCTCCAAGGCAGACAACTGACCATGTCTGAGACCAGGATGCTAGGCTCTTGGGGGCACTCTTTTGGGCTCTGAGGTAACCCCTTCTTCCCCTAAGTGGAAATAAGAGACAGGGGGAATATTAATCATCCAAACCCACTACCCTCAAGTCGATTCCGACTCATAGTGAACCTGTAGGATGGAGTATAACTGCCCCATGCAGTTTCCAAGGCTGTAAATCTTTACGGAAGCAGACTGCCACATCTTTCTCTCTTGGAGTGGCTGGTGGGTTCAAATTGCTGACCTTTCGGTTAGCAGCTGAGCACTTAACCACTGTACCATCAGGGCTTCCTTGGGGAGTATTAGGCCCTAGAAATTACTGTCCATTCTCTTTGTGCAGATTAGAAGATGGAGGCTCAGAGAAGTGTGGGGCCTTCCTTAAGCCACCCAGGACCGGAAACCAGTCACCTGGCCCCAGGCCAAAGAGCGCCTCCCCTGAGGCCTCAGACCATCTGGCTAACAATTTGGTGATGCAGGCACATCATTCTGTCCACTTCACCCAAAGCAGAGGGTGTGGGGAGCAGTATGGTAAGAAATGGACATTTACCAGCAGAGGCTTCTGTGCTGGAGTCCCAGGACCTAGCACATCCCTGTCCAGTGGCTAGTTCAGGTTTTCACAAAACTTGGTGCAAGTGGTGCATCTGCCCAGCACTCACCCTGGGCAAACCAAGGCCCATTCTGTGGCTTTGGGCTGGGTGGCAACAGCCTGGGGGGTTGGGGGAAGTGAAGGTGGGAGATGTCCGCTGGCCAGATGCCCTGGTTGGCAGCTGTGTGCCCCAACCAGTTCTGCTTCTCCATCTCTGTCTGTAAAAATGGCGTGGGGGGCGGTGTCTGACTCCCTCTAACTTCACGAGGGGTAAGGAGAATCAAAATCAACAGCCCAAGGCTGATTCCTGTGAGGCCGAGGTCAGACACGCCTCCTCTCTCTGCCATCTTTACCATTTCTGACACCAATCATCCCTCCCACGTTACTCTCTACTTTTCTGCTCGGTTCAATAATTTATTGCAGTGGCCACACAGAACTCACAGACAATACTCATGATTATGTGGTTTATTAGGGAAGTAACAGTTACAGTTCAGGTTCAGGTAAACTCAGGATAGAGTTCTTCCATCAGAACAGCCTCTTCCCGACCATGCTCACAGGCACGCCCTCTCCCTGGCCCTAGGCCTCTGCCCAAAGGCACTCAGCTTTCTCTCTCTGTGGGCTGGGAAGCCCACCATGCCTCCTGCTGCCAGGTCTCTGCTGCTGCTTGTTGCTGCCTTCAGTGTTAAAGCTCTCTCTCTGTCTCCTGTTTCCAGGAGCTTCCCAGCTCAGGGATCCCCAGTCCAAATGACATGCTCTCTGCTCCTGGTTGTTCTTCCTTGGTGGTGGTGGGATCCTTTTTCTCCCACTTCTGGGGTGGCTCATTTCAAGTCCAGTGGGATGGCAAAATTGACCAATCCCTTTGGTAGGCCACAATTACCCGATCTGCACAGTCCTGCCCGATCACTTGGGTGGGAGTTAGAAGACCATGGCGAGAAAGTCCACACAAAAGGGATCCATCACACCTCTCTGTCCCTTAGCCCTCAGCTCTCTGCCAGCTGCCTGTTAGCCTGCTTGTCCACCACTGGCCCAGGTGCTCACTGGGACAGCGGCCAGGTCCTCATTGAACATATTGTCCTAGTGCTTGGTTATAGCTCTGTCCTGAAAGTCTGGTGAATAGAAAAAGGGAAGCTCATCCGTACCTCAGCAGATGTAGCCTGTTTGAGGAGCTAGATCTTGTGAATGGTAGGATCCTTGGGTGGCGGCAGGAGGATGAGAGCTTTTGGGAGATGGTGAGGGTGGGTGTTCACTATTGGCCAATGAGGCTGATTGGAGCAGTGGTTGGTTAAAGGGGGCTCAAGTTAGGGCACCGTCTCTTATATCCAGTGTGACCTTGGGCCAGTGGCCTAACCTCTGAGCTATAAGATGGGGAGAGTAACAGTACCCACCACTCAAAGACTGTTCTGTGGACTGAGTGAGACCTTGTCTGTAACGTTCATGGCATAGCCCAGGGGTGCAGTAGGCGTTCAATAAGTGGTAGCCAATGTTGCCATTGGCAGAGCAAGTAAGTGAAGCTTCAGCCTGCTTTGTGGGCTGGGCAGCCTCTGGAATTCCCAGCACCCCGGTACCCTGTGCCTGTGGAGGTCTTTTTCCCAGCGTGTCTGTTGTTCCCTGCAGACTAGAGCAGACTGGGAGGGCAGAAACATGACTGGCAGAGCGGAACAGTCCCCCACACTTGTGCACGGGCTTGAGCCTTTGCATGAACATTTTTTGGTGGAGCCCCACAGCAGTACAGTGAGCTCTGCCTTCCCAGGACTGCCGAGTGGCGACACTGAGGCCCCAGAGGAGAGAGGCCTGGCCCAGTGACCAAGACCCAGGAGCTGGCAGTGGGACTGCCCCTCCAGCCCAAAGAAATGCTCCTTGGATCCGCACCCCCAACTCCTCTGCGGGCAGCTCTTCCAATAGGAGTCTAGCTCAGCAAGGGCTCCCCACAGTGTCCCCCAGCTGCCCTTTCTCTCTCCCCATTCTTCCCCAACTTCTACTTTCTTTTACCCATCTCAGAGGGTAGTTCTCAATTCCCAGCCTGACTGGGCGGTGTGGCCAGCAGCCCCCTCAGGCAGCCTGGAGCTCACAGGTGTTGTCAGCTCTGAGACCTGTACTCTGCTCATTTCTGAGCACCAGGCTTGCTCCTCGGGGCAGGGACAGGCTTATTAGTGTGGCTGAGTCATATGGCACTAGTGACAAGTGGGACTACTAGGCCAGTCTCCCTGTGGTGGGGATAGGTTGGAGGGATATCCTTTTCTGGGATTTTCTTGGGGATCCTCAACAAAGCTCCCTTTTCTGGGGCCACAGGCCATCTTGAACTGCCTTCTGTGTCCTCCTTTTGGGACTGGAGATGGTGCGCCTGGAGCTACTGGACCAGCTGCTGGACCACTAAGGCCAGCAGCCCCTCCAGCAGCCGGGTCTTTGCTGCAGCACCCACAGCTCACCAGAGTGCAGCATTGGCCCACGGTGGCCAGTCGGGCCGGGGCGCTGCCACCTCTGAAAGAGTGTCAGGTTCTGGGGGGAAGGAAGCCTAGGCCGCAGGGAGACAGGGAGGCCAGGCCTCTATAGAGCATGTTACCTAAACCAAAAAACAAACCCATTACCACCAAGTTGATTCCGACTCATCGCAACCCTATAGGACAGAGTCGAACTGCCCCATAGGGTTTCCAAGGCTGTAAATCTTTATGGGGGCAGACTGCCGCATCTTTCTCCTATGCAGCGGCCGGTGGGTTCAAACCACTGACTTTTCGGTTAGCAGCTAAGCACTTTAACCACTGCGTTACCAGGGCACGTGACATGGCAGGGATTAATTCAGTGTGTGTGTGTGTGTGTGTGTGTGTGTATGTGTGTGTGATGATATCTGCCCTCCACTATTGTGAACTCATGAGGGCCCAGTCTGTCTCATTCATCTGTCTCATCCCCAGAGCCTAAAACGAAGCTTGGCACATAGTAGGTGCTCAGTAAACATCTGTTAACTGATTGAATAACATAGCAAAGGGTGGGATTTCTAGAATGGCTAAACAAGGAGATCGGTGGACCCTCTCCGCAGCAAAACAACAATTTAACTGGTGAGAATTATAAAACAAATAAACAATCATTTGGAGTCTCTGAAAATTGTCCTGAGGTGTACAGCAAATGGAGAAACGTTCATTTAAGAAATCTACTAAATTTCCATAAGAACAGTGAGAGTCAGTGGCGTTGGAGTTACAACCAGTTCCCTTACCACCCCCCACCCCCACCCCCAGCTCTGTGGTACAGAAGCTTTACATGGGGTGTTCTACTCTAGGTAGGTGTGGCCAAGAAGACAGGGTTGTCTCTGCTCCCAGCTCCCAGTCTGGGGCTACGGTTTCACTCTGGGAAGGGGCAGGCTGCTGCCATTTCTCCTTCTCCCCACCCCCAAGCCCTACGTTGCAGAAGCTCTATTCCCAGCAGCTGCAGCAGAGACGACCAGTCTCCCTTGCCCCACCCAGCCCCACACTCTTAGGGCAGAAACTACTCTAGGGTGACAGGTTGAGAATATGGAGGTGCCACACTGAGAGGGGCAAGCCGAGAAGACCAGGTGCTGCCACCCACCAGTGCCCTCTGGTAGAGTGGGTGTCACTCCAGGAAAAGTAAGTCCTGTCCCCAGCTCTGGTGCAATGGCACAGGGATTTTTGCCCTGGGGAAAGGCAGGCCATGAGGACAAAGAGCTCCACAGCTCCATCTGTGGTGACTGATTTTATTTGGATCTGAGCTTGGGAAACTCCATGCCTAAGGGCATGGTCAAAAACAATGGAGGACCTAGCCAGTCTATGTGTGTGTCACCCCCCCGACCCCTGCTATCTCAGTGAAACCACTCCCAAAGACCACTTTTCAGGCAAAGATTAGACAGGCCTATAAAAAAAATAATAACACGTGAGGAACGTGCTTCTCAGTTCAATCAAATATACGAGACCAAATGGACAACTCCTGTCCAAAACCAGGACGAGAAGGCAGGAAGGGACAGGAACTGGATGAGTGGACATAGGGAACTCGGGGTGGAAAGGAGGCGCGTGCTCTCACATTGTGGGGATTGCAACCAATGTCACAAAACAATATGTGTATAAATTTTTGAATGAGAAATTCAGCTGTAAACTTTCACCTAAAGCACAATAAAGAAATAAAAACAAAACAACAACAACAAAAAAACAGTGGAGATCTTTGTGGAAAGCAGTTAAGAGGAGGCTGGAGCCCTGATGTCGCAGTGGCTTAGAGCTCGG